TGGACAAGATCCTCTTCAGCGCTAGACCTCTCCTGCACATAATCCAGTGGGTGAGATTAAATTGATAAATGGAACCCACTACTAATGATGCAATCTCACGCACTGAATTTTGTGTAGGAGAGGTCCAGCGCTGGAGAGGATCCTTGTGCGTGTGACATACGTTGCATCACATCAATTTGAAACTTCTTCCCGGCCATTTATTTGGATAAGGATTATCTCCATTTGCACAGTAGTCCATTTCTTCTATTTTTGTGAGTGAAAGTACATTCCAACATTTTTTTATGGTGTATTTTAATATTTTTCTATTGTGCATTCCAAACATAACTAACGTGATCATTTTTACACCATTTATTTCAAAATAGATAAAATAGCACGCTGTTCACTGAAGGTGATTTTCTAGTCTCCAAAACTCATTTATAACTAGGTTAGGTAAAGTACCATATTGAGACGGATATCATCAAGTTGCGATCTGCAATAAGACTCTTTGTCCATCAAGCTGTGTGAACTTGGAGACAAAAAAGCAAATTTTGTATAGTTGGCGGAAATTTCCGTGTAACAGAGGAATTGCATTACAAGATGAGATTTGGACATCACTAGGAAGTCAAAACAAAGTGACAAATCTGTAAAATTTGTAGTACTGACAATTACATTTCACTCTATGAAACTTCCTCATATATATATTTTTTGCTTGGCAATGGGGATGAAACTTCCTCTCTCTCTCTCTCTCTCTCACACACACACACATATATACCTCACAATGAATTAGAGGGTAAAAGTTATAGGGGGAAGGACATATCAGGGCGGAGCCAGAAAATTTTTATTTGGGAATTTTTTAGAAATGTATAATTTTTTTAATACATTTTAATCTTAGTATGTATTGGCACTATAAACCATTGCAATTTGAGCACAATGTGCATTAAAAAAAATAAATAAATAAAAATAAAAAATAAAAATTTATTACTACAACAATAACCGATAATGCAAACCTTACGCACCAGTAACTAATGAGTAGGTTTATTTCTAAATGCAGCAATTTCATTGTAGAAGATGGTATCGCAATGACTTCATTCCCAAAAGGAAGAAATAAACAAGTATCAACATCTTCGTTTTTCATTTTCACATCTAAATGGAAAGATCAGCTCACGAGTAGGTTTACTCTAGAGGAGGCAATTTTATTTACCAATGGAAGATGATACACACGACTTCATTAATTCCTGAAAGGAAGATTCAAACAAGTATCAACAGCTTCGTTTTCATTAAAATCGTTTCATCTTTAATTTAATGGTGGGATTTGACTTGAAAGAGCAGAGTGATAACCGAGATGGAGGGGTGGGCATCACCACTATTTCTCGACTTTGAGATAACCATAATTGTCTCACCGTTGCCATAATCACCTTGAACATCCCTGTCCTAAATCTCTTTGCCTCCTAAGCATAGAAGGGCAGAGAAAGGAATATGTAGATATTGACATAATGGACTATTTATAACTTAGCCAACCCAAGCAGCTCCAATAAAATTGGTTGTTGAGCTCTAAATTTCAAAATATTTAAAATTAATTCAATGAATATACTCATCTAACTAAAGCAATGGCCAATATTCATCCGCCATTTGATGTGATTTATCTTCACCCAATTTACTACTACTAGTATACACATACAATAAAGAAGTCAGTTCAATCTTACAAATAAGGTCCTGTTAAAAATTGGTTGCAAGAAATGGTATTGAATTAGGACCCACCCAATATATATATATATATATATGTAAATAATGGTACTGCTGATTAATTGGACATGTCCTCATACAACTATCATATTAAGTAGAGAAAGAGAACCATCAATACCGGGTTGGTGTGGTGGGGAAGTGGAAGCTGAACTGAACAGAAGAGAGATGTAAGCAATGCCTTTTCAGCTATCCATCTGAATCCAAGGGTTTTGCCTATGATATCTCGGGAAACATCATTTGAAGTTGGATTTTTATTGGGTGCAAATAATTTTCTTGAAATTATACTTTCGCGATTATATTTTACTACTTACCTAGTTCAAGATAGGGAGGCACCCATCTTAAATTTTTGGGGATTAATTAAGGCAAAGCCCTGAACACTCCAAATTAATTTTTTTTTTTTTTTTTTTAAAAAAAAAAAGAAAAAAAAGAAAAGACTATCCCAACTGCTATAGGGTTGATTTTCTACCTAGGGTTCCTCTCTAATTCTTAGGCTAGTCTATATGAACAATTGAAAATGCTGTAGAATCTGCAACTTAAAAAATGGACCAGTGTTGATTTATATTTTACAATTGTAAATTGACTTTAGAACTTATAAATGACCATCATTTAGTATTAATTTGGATCATATAGAAAAAGCATTGCTATAAAGAATAGCTATTGTTACAACTACGCCACCTAATTTAATTCATAAAATTGAATAGATGGTTATACGCACTTAACAAATGAGATTGAACAATTGTGCAGTTAATATTGTTAGAAAATATTTTTTATGTGTTACATAAAATGTTTTGAACATAAATTAGATAAAAATTTAACCTTTAGAATTATTTTAAAAATTTACTGTTGTCAAATTCACATGTGCAAGTTTAATTACCTAAACTTCTACAATTGGCATCAAAACCACAGTTTACATAATTTTTTTAAAAGGACAAGTGCAGAAAATATCCTTAAAGTATATTTCACGTAGTATTTTTATTTCCCTATTTGAAAAAGTGGGTAGAAAACACCCCTAATTTTTTCACATTGTGCAAAAATATTCCCTCTGACATAAATTAGTACTGTAATACCCGTTTTACCTTTTTACTCTTTCAAAAATGCCTAACGGGGTATATATGCTACAATCTCATAGTAGAGGTGTTATGTGTACATTACCTTATATATATATATTTTTTTGAAACTTTTTTCTCTATATATATCTCTAACCATTTTTTTTTTTTTTTTAAACTTTGAGAATTTGTAGAACAATGATTTAAATTTTTGAGATTCCACTATTTTCTACTATATATATATTTTTTATTTATACCAATGCGCACCGGTTCTCAAAGTTTGAAAAAAATTTGTTTTCTTTAGTTTTCACTTTATTTTTGTTTTTTATTTTCTATTTTTATTTTTATCTTTACTTTTCTTTTATACTTTTATTTTTATTTTATACTTTTATCCTTGCTTGTCCATTCCTGACATCCTCCAATAGTGTCATTTTCAGTTATTTTATAAAATAATTTATTTTTAAATATTTTATAAAATAGTTCAGTAAGGGTAATTTAGTCAACTTAGGATTTGTCAGAAGGACCTATTTATACCAGATTGAAACTTTATGGGTGTTTTTAATTTGCACGAGAGGAACATCCTCCAATAATGTCTTTTTCGATCATTTTACAAAATTATTTATTTTTATATTTTTTATAAAATAAGTCATTAAGGTTAATTTAGTTAATTTAAGGTTTAAATTTGTCAAATGAACCTATTTATATCAAGTTAAAATTTTAAGAATATTTTTATACGTGAGGAGTGTGATATGTAGTGTAAACATACTTTGGCGTATTTTCTGGTCTTTACCCTGTGTTTAACCATCCCTAATATTTGTACTCGATTGTGGGCCCTCCTATATAAGTCATGCATATTGGTGGTGGAGAAGACTAGAAGAGTGGAGGGGTGGTGGTGGGGGCCAGCAATCCTCCATGTAGAAAAAGGTTAGGTGTGCCCTTTAGAATAGACAAACTTTAGAGGGCACATGCCTCTGTGCACTTAATTGCCATTATTTCCATGTCCCACCCACTCCACAATCCCCGCATAATTATCCTACTACTAGTAGTACTAGTCCATCTATCTATATACTGTATATATATATACTCCGTATATTTTATCTCAAATTCCCAAACTATCCCAATCTCCACCTAAAATATCACTCTCACAAGGTCTTATTAGCCTATAAATGAAAAATGGGATTAGTTTGGGGACTCATATCCTCTAATTAGTTGTACCCAAAAAGGGTTTTTGAATCAAATGTTGATTCATTTCATAGTTATAACCTTTAATCAGTGAATAAAGTTATTTTAAATCAACTAATGGGGCATTAATTCAAATGAAAAGATTTTAAAGAGAAGATTAGGTGTTCGAATTATATTAGAGAAATATTATAAGTGTATGCATTTGTTTGAACTTAAATAATAAAAAAATTGTTATTCTTAATATATAATATCATCTTACTAATCTTGAAATATAATGCTCCAAAAAAGAAAAAGAAAAAAAGCAAGACTTATTTAAGAATTAAACACTCGTATGTTTTAACTAGGGTTGAAGGGTTATTTAGGAACTCTTTAGGAGCTTGAGAGAGCTACAATAGTTTAGATAGTGGAATCTATGAGTTATACTATTAGTTTTATTGCCCCAATGGATTTTGCTTTATTAGCAAGTAACCAAGTGGGAGAAATGCAATATATTAAGTGGTTAATTTTAACTAGTCCTATTTGGAGTATGTCACATGACTGAATCTTAAGCAAAGATTAGACCCATACAATGTTGTTTTATGAAGTAGTGCAGTGCACAAGAACATGTCAACACAATTAAATTATTATAAAAACAAAAGCAGACACATCCTTAGCAGAAAAATCACTCCCTCTACCACAAAAATGTTCCATCTTTCTTTCTTTGTATTAATATATTTCTATATTTTTAAAGTCAATCCACATAGACTGTTTTAAAACTTTGAGAATTATGTTTTTTTATTAGATGTGATGTTATAACAAATGGGAAAGGTGTCAATTTTGAAGATTTATATATATATTTACAAAATATTTTTCACTTTATAAAGTTAAAAAAATTAAGAAGTAATTTTTCAGAAGAATGTGATATAGGGACCACAATCATCACCCTTCCTGCCCCATTTGCACCTAATGAGTTGAAAAATTAGATGGAGAGAGAGAGAGACCTAATTAGTAGAAAATTTGGATGGAGAGAGAGAGAGAGAGAGATAGAGGCTTTATAAAAGGAATAGACTATCTAAGCTAGCTCACACAACACATCCCCACTATACTGAGAACCAACCAACACAGACTCTCTGTCTCTCTCTCTCTTTCCATTCATGGCTCCCTCCACCAAATATCTCTCCTTCTTCTTCTCCCTCACCCTCTTACTCTCTCTCCATGTCCATGCCAGAGACAGCCAGTTCTTCAGCAAAGTCAGCACCAACACTATCAACAACAACAACAATGTCAATGAGCCAGAAACAGTCCTCCCCATGAAAGAAGAACCATTGAACAAACAAGAGCAAGACCCAACCTTCATCCCCAACACCCAAAATGGCTATGGCCTCTACGGCCACGAAACCGGCCAACTCCCTCCCTCCACCACCACCACCACCACCACCAATGTTGCACCCTACACCGCCACCAACACCAACAACAACCACGAAGCTTATGTGACCAACCCACATCCCGTGACGGATACGAGGTTCACAGAAGCCAGCTACACCACCCCAGTTAGCAGCAACAACAACAACTACTACACTGGTGGAAGCAACAATTTCAATGGTCGAAGCTACACCACACCAACCAGTGCCAACAACAACAACTACTACGGTGGCAATACTTACGAAACACGCGCGAGCGAGACGAAGTTCGTGGACAGAGGGTATACTACCACTCCAACCAATGCCAACAACAACTACAACAACTACTACAATGGTGGCAATGGCTACAACAACAACCAGAAGCAAGGCATGAGTGACACAAGGTATCTGGAGAATGGAAAGTACTATTATGACCTCAGCAGTGAGAACTACAACACAAGGACTACTGATACAAGGACTGGGTACAACACCAGAGGGTATTATGGGAATAACGAGAATACATATGAGTATAACAACAACAACTCCATGGAAGGGTACCAGAACCAGGAAGAGTACCAACAGAGTCAGGATGAGTTCGAGCCTTGATGATGAGCTTTTTGTTTGCGTTTGAGTGATGAGCAACATATATGAGATGGGTGTCAATTTGGTGATATTTAATTATGTTTTTAAGTTATAAATTATGGTTTACTAGGAAAGATTTAAATTAAAAGATAAATTTTATGTGTTGTTTTTGGTGTTTGCATAGTTTTCATGCTTTGAAAAGTAGAAGAATGAGAGTATAATCATGTACTTGGCGTTCAACAATTCAATAAATTGTATATTTAATGTTTGGAGCTTTTGTGTGTGTGTGTTTTTCTTTCTTCACGTTATTGATCATTAGGGCACACTAAAAGTTTGTATGTAAGTGTGTTTGTCATGTATGAAATTATATCACTAACATGCAGAGAGTAAGATTATGTTTTAATATCAAAATTTTAGTGGGTGAAGTACATCACCATTACTAATGAATTTCGTTATTATAATAGTGTGAAATTCAAGTGTAAGTAAATAATGACAATATATAGTGATAAACTTCATCCAACCAATGGAACCATGAAATTAAAAACTTTAACCGAAGAGTATTTTGATCCATGAATTTGTTGATGTGCTTTAGCAAAACTCTAGCTGGTACATCAATTTAACCTAGCTTAATTAACTACATAACAAAAGACTATATATATATATATATATACACACACACACACACAACAGTTTGCATTTCGGTGAGACAATAAAGGAGATCTTATGACGGACTTGGTGGTACAACTAGACATCTCATTTGCGGTTGAAAACCTGTACGGTTTAAGTTGATGACACCAATTAATGAGACTTGGTCATGCTTATTGGTGGAACAATGACATAGACAACCAAAGAATATATGATGATGATTTTCTTCACTTTTACTTTTTCTTTCTCTTTCTTTTATTAAAGTTCTTTAATCTTTTACTCAAATTACAAAAGTGTTACTTTTAAAAGAGATATATTTTCTTTTTCTTTCTTGTAAAATTACCATTAGCACAACTATCTTAGAACTGTTAATTGCTAACTTCTCTTTCACTAATTATCCTATGATTGCATGCAATTGTCACATGTACAATGGCTGAAATTGAGGTCTTGCTTGGTTTATAATTTTGAAACAGTTTTTTATTCTCAGAAAACTGAAAATAAAAAACTGTATAAAAAATTCTGTTTGATTCACTCAGTTATAAAAATATCTGTTTTTAAAAAACTGTCTTTTATTATTCTCTGAAAACTATTTTCAAGTTTCAAACCAAACAAGTCCGGGCTCTCCGAAACCCAATTTTCTTTTTCACTCTGAAATTCTCATAAACTCACTTCTTAATTTTGCCAAGTCAAGAAAAAGATACAAAATTATTTAATTATATATATATATTTAGCCAATCTATAAAGTTGTTATCTAGTCAGTTGTCCAATCTAGACCCTATCTAAAAGGCACTATTTCATCACCCCCTTATAAACCTAACAATTAGGTTCTAAAAGTTGGAATTTTCTCCCCAATGCAGTTGAGTAATATAGGAAATTGAGCGTTCTACTAATTATTAAGTCATTTTAAAAATAAGAAAAAAAATAGAAAGAAATTCGAATACAGATACACTGATTTAAAAACTAAATATCATATCAATCAGGCCAAATGTCAATTCTACTAATTAATAGCACACATGCATTACATAAGACAACATACACAAAAGGTCACATCCTAGAGACCCTACATCACAAACAAGGCCATCATCTTCTAGATTTCAGATAAGCACTTCACAAATTCTATGGAAAAACAAAATATGAATTCTTTTCGATAAGTCTTTGGCCAGCTTGCACTTCCATTTATTTTTTATTTTTTATTTTTTATTTTTGTCAGACTTAGTTAAGACTTGAGAGAGAGAGAGTTGTCAATTTGTGAAAGCGTATGGGAGTGGGCACTATTTATGAAGAGGACATATTGACTCAATGGTTAGATTTATTAGATGGTGCACCACTGGATTGGTAGGGTCATGGTACAATTTAATGATAGCGCGCCAATTAAACCACTAAAAGGCAAAAAAAATTAAACTGGTCTATTGGAATTTTGTTGCCCGTGAATGACGGATTGACTTTGTCCTTTTTCATCACCTATAATATTTGTGTTTAATTAAGACTTGAGATTCAAGCTTCGAGCTTCAACTGCTTTTAACTTTACTTTTTGAAATTGCACTTCTTTTTGGTATTGATTTCCAGTTTTCGCCAATTAAGTCTCATATTTTGAATTTGGATGGATTAAAAAGGAGTAGTTGAGCTGTAGTTTGTTATGGCCTTAACTCATTGAAATTGACAGTTGTAAAATAATATCTCAAATTCAATTTAATTCACTTTAGTTGCTGTGGATTGGATTGGAGTTTTCAAATGAGTAAAATTGGGTCAACTAAATAGCGACCAAAGAATCCCCATTGGTTGGTCTAATGGAGCGGAGTCTGAAATAGACATTCGAAAAACGCATTAGGTTTTTCGGTGGTTAACTCTCTTAGTTTGCCCAACCAATTAAAATGTATTATTGAAGTTAGTTGATAGAGGTTAGTATGAGTATGTGTGATCAACCAATTTAAATGGTGCATGTGGGTTGGTTGGGCAATATCATTTGATATACCCAGCACATCCTATGTCTACTCATGTCTTGGAGGGAGTTTTACGGTCAAAAATAAATTGGTTAGGTGACACCCCCTTAAGGTTTGCTCTATTGACGAAAGTTAGGTCTTTTTTAAACACTCACACCCCCTGTTAGAAATTTAATCCAAACAAACTTTTAAAAGTTGTGAAAAGACTATATTGCTCTTCAATAAAATATCAATTATTAATCTAAAATATCAAAAAAATTAAATGACAGAATTACCCTTATTAATCATAGGCTTCGTGCAGTTGGCACTTGGCACCAACTTGTATAATCGTGGCATATTAGTTATTAACCAGTTAACCACTGCGTCACTAAATTAAAAAACTTGGGCCATCTCGTCTTGGTTAACCAACTTTACCAGGTACAACAAGTATGGCCTGTTGCAATTTAGTTATGGGCTCGGAAAGCAGATCTCATTGGCATTTTCTCTTTGCACAAAAAGCACACACACACATATGTGTGTGTGTGTGTGTGAACATTAAAATGGCATGATATAGTTGCAGAGGTACTCAATAGTGTGTTGGAGATGGAATGGTGAAAAAGGGTGAAAGGGGCATGTGGGAGACCATACTAATGATCACTAATCATTTCCACCAACTAGTTCCCCTACAGCACCGAAATTCCCATTTCATCATATATATATATATAGATATATATAACAATGACTTACCAAGATAAATAAATATAAAATTTATGACGTGCACAGAGAGCTTTGATCATCAATTTGGGCTATCAGAGAATGGGTGCTTGATTGGCTTAATTTAGTACAAAATTATTACTCTTCAACCCAGACCATCATTACCATCTCAACTAATTTTTAATTTTTATCATTTTATTTTAATTAGTATTGCTTCAACTTTGAGATGAATGTGTTCAATTTAATTTTGTCCTCAATTAGGTTGCGATAATTTATTCAAGTCAACTGGCCAAAATGAAGTTTCACCAAATCGTCTCTAGTTGGTTTGATTCTCATTTCAACGAACTGGTTCAATTTACGTAGAAAAAATATATTTGTAAACCGATAAAACGAATGAAAGTTATAAATTGAATACGTGTTAGCCGCTGAATGTACCAATGTTAGACAATTTAATTTTACACTTTACATATTTTACGATTAGTGGTGCACATGTTTGGATTTGGTACAATTTCAAGCTAAATCAGAACTGAAATGATGTAGAACTTCAACAACCTCCTAAAAAAGATAATGTAATGAGGTACTATTTATTAAAGGCCTACCCAAATAATTGGTACTACCCTTACTGTCAATAACGAAGTATACAATTATTAGAATATATAATATTAAATGAAATATATATATATATATATATATATATATATATATATATATATTTTTTTTTTTTTCCAATAACCTTGTGCACATGTTTTCACTTTTCATTTTAAGAGATAGACAAAATACCACTAATCTAAACAGCCTTTTTATTAATAAATGAACACTATTTGATTCAACCTTACTAAAATATAAAATGCATACATTTTTTTATAACAAGTGTACCAAAAAAAATCTTGCCAAGGCTCACACTTATTTTTCATACAATCATACATACAATATATATATATAGTTTATGATTTGGTTTGGTCTTAATGGACATGAAATCAGAATGAAAATGTGAACTAACGATTTCTTATTTTTAAAACCAGAATCGAACCACACAAGAACCAACCGACCATTCAGTTCAGTTCAGTTTGTACCAATTTATCGGTTCCAAACGTTTTATTGTGCACCCATACTTTTGTCAATTAAGGCTGCATAACGGGCTATGTCGGGCCAACCTGGAGTTTTGGAAAGCCAGGCCCGATCCAACTGGGCTTTCAACGGACTGAGCTTGAATACATTTCAAGTAACCCAAGCCCAGCCCTTGGATTCTTGAATAGCGTGTTGTGGGCTAGGAACGGGCTGGGCCACAGTTTCGAAATGGGCTAGAGTTCGGGCTCAGAGTTGTTAGGATTTTTATCTTAAAAAGGAATTCATTCGATTTGATTTTTTTTTTTTTTTTTCCAATAAAAAAATTGACATTGTAGTGGGCTGGACTTTGGAAAAAGATGGGCTATATTACGGTAATACTCCGTATAATTCAAACATTATATATTGATTCAAATTAATTCGAAACTTTGCGTTGATGTTTACCCGGAAAAAATAAAAAGCCACGTGTAACATGCTAAGATTAGAGGTACGATCTTTCTATACGAGTGCATATACAATATATACTGTATAAGTACTAAACCCCCAAAATAAACCCTGACTTCTTCGCCCGCCCCCAAACCAAACCAAAGCTGCTCTCTCTCTCTCTCTCTACGATTTGTGCAACCATGTCAGCCGCCCTCGCCGCCGCCGCCAGGTCCGTCGTCCGGTCCAACTCCGCCCGATGCGCAGCGACGAGACTCACCGCCGGAGCTAAACCTAAACCCGCACGATCTCCCTTTCGCATCCCCACGCAGAAACCACTCCCTTCTCGCATTTTCAGGTCAATCCTCTTATATACACACATATGTATATGTTTATATTCTCATAAACTATACTGCATCTCTATACAATTCATAAGTAAATCAATTTTTTTGATTGAATTACAGAAATGCTTTATTCAGTATATTAACAGGTCTCCATTTTTTTACTGCAAAAACAGGTCTCCAGTTGAGATGAGCTGCGCCGTTGAATCGTTGCTTCCATTTCACACCGCCACTGCCTCTGCATTGCTCACTTCGATGCTCTCCGTCTCTCCTCGGAGCTATGGTTGGACTCTTGAAGGTACTGTTACTTAATTTTTCTTGAGTGTTATATATATATATATATATATATATATATATAATATATATAATTTATTTATTTGTTTTAGGCATCTTTTTTGTTCGCTAAGATGATTAAGGCTTAATTCTACATTGGTCAATGATCTGATTACATACGTTTCGAATTTCTGCTTTTATGTCTTATTGTAAGGTTGTTCTTTTGACAGAATTTTCAACTACATATTTTGTGGCTTGTATGTGGACTATGGTTTACCTTGATTTTCTTTATACATTACATAGCTACATTGCCACTGGTTGGTAGTAGGTCAGTGGAACATGTCTTAGCATTGTGGAGCGTTTTGGGGTTTAAATAATATTTCGTTAGTATTCGTTACAGGTCAACGGTAGTCCAGTTCAAGGAAACACTCTTAAATCATCACAATCTTATGAAATTGGACTCCTCTATAAAAGATTAGAAATGAAGGGTATACATGCCCAATCTTAATGTTTCATGTTAAAGCTTTTTGCATATTCAGAAAGGTTAATAGAAATTTGACATGCACCACAATAATAAAAGCTAATATGAAACATGACTTATAAAAAAATCACAGTTGCCATCTGCTTAATTTTTGTTGGAAGATATTTAAAATCCTCGAACACAAGCTGTTGATGCAATATTATGCTGCGATTGGGTACAATATCGTATCTACAAAGAACGAAGAATTCACCTAAAAAGGCACCTGTGTGGTACCGGTCGAAGGGACTCCGACAATCAAGTTAGTACTAGATGGAAAGAGAGGGAAAAAAAAACTCTTCTGACTAATTTGTGTCGTACCTCTTAGGTTGACCGACCCCTCCTTTTATGGGGGGTCTCGGTAGTAGTGGCCACCTTCAACACGAAATAGGATCAAATAGTCGTATTTATCGTTAATCCAGTGTTAGGATCTCTCTCTATGTATTGTAAAAATGTCAAGGTGTAAGGTGGAATAATAAGCTGCAAGTCATGCATTTACTTCTAATTACTAAACATTACACTATTTAGTCTTTGTGTTTTTTTTTTTGTTCTTTTTCTTTTTCCCTTTTTCTTTTCCCATGTTTTAGTATTGAGCTTTGATATCGATTCACGGTGAGAGTTCCATCAGGCTCATTCCCCCTCTATTTCATTCTGTTGAGTTTTAATTTTATTTATCAAAAGGTAAGAAAGTATTTTCTTACTCTCTTTTTTTCCTATGCCTTCCATGATTCCATCTACTCCAGTTAAGTGTTATCTTGCTCTTCATTGATGTCCATGACTCTATGCATATCTCAGTAATTGGTAGGAGGCCATGAGGAGATATGCCAGATTTAACATGCATTAGTTGTTTGATTTGAATTCAATCCATTTTGAGCAAACTTTTTATGTTTTATTTCCTAATTATGCATAGTTTTTTTCTTTGTTTAATTTTTACTTCTGGGCAATGGCAAAGATACATGACGCACATGAACGCACAAGCGGTGCAGCTAAGAGGGTATTATTTTTTCCTTCTTGCTCTTTGTCAAAAATCTCCAATGAATTATAATTTTGACATAAAATTTGTCAAGATGCTTGTTAAAGTAGCACAAGCGTTATACTTGTATAATCAACTAAAAAAACCAAACTCTAAGAAGCATATTTTCAGTATAGTTTTACAATAAGACGTGACATGGAGAAGTACTTTTTCTTTTTGAGTAATTCTGCTTCTAATAATTTTAGTATAAGGATTCCGGGATTGCATATGTATTTATTTGTGGAGTAACATGCATCAAATATGGAAAATTTGATACCAATATATATCTTGCCTTCTAACTTCTTATTGCCTGTTATTTAATGGAATTTTCCAATGCTAAGCCTATGCATTCACTCATTCCTTTCTAGTTTGACACGATTTATCAGAAACCTTAAAAGTTCTGTCAGCACTTTGCCATTTTGAATAATGAATCTATTTCATCCATGTTGGTATGTAAAGTAAAACTGACTCTAAACATGTAAATGTCACTCAAACTACTAAACAATGTGTTTTACTATGTTTTAAGTAATTTTTGTGCTGAGAAAAGTTCCACAGTTTTTTTCTGAGCTACATTAGCCCTTTATGTTTAACATTTAAAATTTCTTTCCTAGTTATTAATTATATAGCCTTCAAATATCTGAATGTTGCAATTGTCATTGATTGTTGATAAGTCAAATCCATTGAAAAATGATAGCTGAATTAGATTATGAGAGACAACTAATAGATGAGCCTAGTATCTCTTTATCCTTTTGAATTAGCATTCATGCTAATATAATCATATTAAGTATCACACTGATACCTTTTATCCGATCAGATTGCAATGATGATGTATGATGAATATCGGAGGGTTCGGACAAAGGTTTATGTACAAGCGCTCTAGGAGAATGTCTGATAAGTAGAGTATTGAATGTTCTCCAGACAAGCAAGATCCTTTTTCTCCTTCAATTCTGTTTTTTAGCCTTTGATAACTAGCAAAAGCAAAGATGGTTAACTAGATAAGTTTGATATTCAAAACTATGTTTTCTGGCTCCTTGGAAAATGGGGGTAAATTCAGAATGTCATAGATAGACCTTGTCATGTGGCTTTATTTGTATCATTTCTACAAACATCACTGTTTAATAGTTTGCAAGTTAAAGTATGTCTGATGATGAGATCATCAGGGAAGCACAAGGGAAAAGTTGAGGAACCAATGGTGACAAATGAATGACACACCACACAAGGTGTCACGTCACAGTTAAAGCTGAGACGTTAATGGTGACAAATGACACACCAGATATCTCTCTCCCTGGTTCGCCCCCACCACACACCCCCCCCCCCCCCCCCCCCCCCCCAAAAAAAAAAAAAAAAAAACTTTTTTCTTTGCAATTGTCCGTGCCGTCAGTTATGAATTACCTGATATTACTTATTGGCACATTGGAAATTTAAGTTAAGGTAGATTTTTAAGGTTCATCTTTAATTGCAATTTACATTTCATCATCATTTCTTGTTTATTGGTTGAGTGAAAATGTTAATTCATAAAGTGGGTGGTAATTTGGTATAATCTGCATTCTACATTATTATGAAATAAAAGAATAGCATACATCTATCCAATGTCATTCTTTTTTGCATGAAATACTGGTAGCTCCATTTTCTAGCTGATTTCCCCAGGCTGTAGCTAATAGTTGGCTTTGCTACAGATAATTGACTTGTTGAAATTTAGTCGAGAAAAAAAAAAGAAGATCCAACCTTGCTTCTATTTCATCTAATGAAGGTTCTCTTTTGAATTTGATAACAGACGTCATTTTTTTCATTGTGGTGTACTTCAAACAACATTTTTTTTTTTGACTTGGAGTTTTTCTTTGTTTAGGACTGTGATTTCCACTCATTGGCTGACTCCGGCTTGGGAATTGCCATTTTGCCTCCATTTTTGTTTCCTTTGCTGTAGAAGTTTGTGTTTTGGATCATACTGATACTCAACTAGCAGCTGAATACCGACTTTATATTTTTATTCTGTTAACTGTGTCTCTTTTAACTTTTGGTTGTGGCTTTTGGGTAAATTAGTTGCTCATGTCTAATACCCTCCATAAGTATATTTTTTGTTCCTTTATTGTAGATGGATGATTGTTAGATTGTTGGCATGTGGTGCATCTGGCCGTAGTTTCCATGGATTTATGTGGACATTGTAAGGGCTACTCTGCTTGAGGATTATTCTGTTCGAATGAATGTGAAATCCAACTTAAGCTATTCTGCCATCATCCAAGAGTAGGTATCATAGTGCAAATGGATCGTATATTTTTCGCCCTAAAAATAAGATGCTGCTAATCATGCTGCGTTCACTCTTCAATGCAAGTTTATAATGATTCTTTTACTCTTCATAGAACCGTAGCAGTTCTCTCTTTCATTTCTTTTCTTTATTCTGGGTCTAGAGGTGCTCTTTTAGATTAATTTTACTTGTTTTAAGTTGTCTTTTGGGGTGTGAACTTGTGAGGTTGGACCTGGTCTATAAATAGCAGGTACAATCTCCTTAAGAAGTGGGGAGGTGGTTAGTTGATATTTGGTTGATGGATGTTCAGATTTTGTTGTGTGGTTATCATGCAAATCCAACTCCTTAGGATTATGCTATTAGGCAAGGCAATGACATGATGATATGAATCCAACTTGTGCGTGCACACATGTGCACACATATACAAAAAAGAATTTGGTTTACATTGTCTAATATACACCAATATTTACGTCTGCAAAAGCATAGGTAACCCAGGATGTGTCAAAATGCATGAAGGTTTTGTAGCATCGTGTAGGGTTCTTGAATAAATTTATGGCCCTAAGTTGCTAATCCGTTCCCCACATGAATCTATCTTTAGGTGACATTCTCTTTTATGCTGGGATCCTCTTGGCCCTCACTACTTACCATATTCGTGTGATTTAACTATCTCAAGATATGTTCACCACCATCCTCAGAGTGACGGATTTCTTAACTTCTTGGTATAATTTTGGGTTTTTTTGTTCGACTCTAGTATTGCAACCTGCATTTCCATCTACTGCCTTCATTATGTGGGAAAATTTGAAAGTTAGTGAGTTTCCAGTTGAATATTTATTCTGTGCTGGAAAGAAAGACGTGGTTCAAAACCTCATTTATGTATCTTGAATCTCTTCAATCTAAATGAGAAATCAATACTAGAGTGGCTCTTCCTAAGTGGACATACATATGCTTATTGTTCTAAGTTGGGCTCTGCAATCTTTTGTGTGTAAATCATTAATAAAGGTAATAGACTATTGTTCTTCTAAGCAGGGTTGAGCAAAAGTTTTGATTTCACTCCATTCAAACTATGTTCGGCTGTATGGAATTGGAGCTTTGGAATTGGAATTAAAATTGGGGGAAAAACAACTCAGAAAATTGAATCGAAAGTTTTTTTAATTCCACCAATTCTAATTACAAGGCTCCAATTCCATACAGTCAAACGTAGCTTCAAGGTTTTTGAAAATTGAAGATTTCAAGAATGGAGGTTGTGGTGTCTTTTGATCACCCCATACCCATGTTGTCATAGTGTTGGTGATATTGTTGATGTCAAAACAAACAATTGCATATACCGGCCAATTCCATAGGACTTTTGACGTCATCCCTGGTTGTGTTTGATGTGTCAGACAAAGTGTGGTTTTTCTTGTACTAAACAATATAAATGGACTCAGGTTTCTTGTAAAAACTAGGGTTTGTTATGGTGTTTAGTACTCATTAGCTTGGGGTTGGAGTGGTTCCTTCTCGCCCCCATTGGTTTACTGGGCTAAAAGATAAAAAGAACCAGTATATGAACCCCTTAGTTGACTGTGAAATGCTTAGTAAATACGCGTTAATACGAGGATGTAGGGTATATTTGAATCAAGTTAAGTAGGTGAAAGTGGCAAAGAAGGGTTCATCACCTACTCAATGGCCGGTCCCAACTTGAGAGTCTTTTCCAATATTATTGAATTTGATAGAATTTGGGAAGATTTACATGAGTTATTGGCTTATCAATTGCGCATGTATAGAGCTCTTCTCTGAAGGGGAGCAATATAGGTGGTTCAAATGCAGTTTGTAATGTCACCATTTCAATTTCAAAATGATGAATGACTGAAGTTTGTAATGTCACAATTTCAATTTCAATAGTATGTTCAAATGCAGTTGGTTCTTGATCATCTATCCGCATATTTGATCATCTCCCGATGAAATTCATTATTATTATCATCATTATTATTATTATTATTTTAACCCATTCATGGAAGTGGATACAAAGGTCTTCAATGTGGGCTTCCTCGTCATTCTAACTCTCATTGTTGCAGGACTAAATTCATTCATGAATGGGTTCATTTTTGTCGTTGAAATAAAGTTTGGCTTTCAGAAAGAGCTCATTGATGTCTTGTAATTAATTTTGACAGCAAACAAGGCATAACAACTTTTTGGGACCATTAGTTTGTCTTCAACTAGAAGGACATGGTTCCCTCTTGTTGAGAAAGTCCCGTGGTGTTGTCTTGTGACTCAAAAATAAAAACCTACAGCAATTTGAGGTAACTCACTCTTATTATAACTTTTTTAAAAATAATAAATTTACTATTATTATGTTTATTCTCTTTCTTCTTTCCATATCTATGTCGCTCTATTTTCTTGGCTTCTTTACACCACACACCCTAACCATTGTCATCTCCACTTTTTACACTTCCACTCTCTAATCAATCCTGCCCTCTTAAGAATAGGGGTGACAAATTACGACACGAACACGACACGATTTTAAAATGTTTGAGTTTGATATAAACAGGTTTGAGTCATAAAATGGTCGATATAATTAACCCGTTTGTTTAATCGTGTCATGTTAGGGTTGAGGGGTTTAACCCGTGTAACACGTGTATGATCCATTTAACTCAACATGTTATAATTGTGAGTATGACCTATGCAATATGTTTTCTGTTTAAATCCAATTACTATGGATAGTTAAGTTATTTCAACAGAAACCTTGTATATGTCTTATTATTTTTCTTTTTATTTTGAATATTTGAGTTAATTATGACAAGTTTTTTTTTATTATTTAGTATTTGATTAAATAATAAATGTCTCATTTTGATAAACAGACCATTAAACGAGTTAACACGTTTACCTGATTAATAAACGGGACGGGTTGGATTAGTGTTGAAAATTCTTAACACGATTATTAAATGGGTTAGATTTAAGTTTACCTATTTAATATAATATTTTTACATCGACACGACAAGAACTTGAATTGCCACCCCTACCTCTCAACCTCCTACCACCACCCCCGCTCTCCACAAACCACTTTATTTATAGAGACACATATACATTGGTAAGGCTATGCACTTAAATTCATATGTATAAATGTATAAATCTAATTTGAACAAGAATCAATGCATATATAATCACAAGTTATTTTTCTTTGTTGAAATTTTTTTAATTTTTTTTAACTAATTTTCATCACATTAATGTATTTTGAGGTCCGATTAATATTTCAAAAACAAAACGCTAATTAAAGAAATGAACAAATATGGCCTTAATTAGTTTTAAGTCACTGTCCCCAAACGTTTTAAGGCATAATATAGTTCCTATGATTTTCGCCACGCTACCACAGGAGAAAATCCAGATCCCTTGAATTAAATGAAGAACAGACAATTAACATTGGACGGTTAATTTGATTATGGTGTTACATCTTTGATGTAATGTGTTAGTGTTCACGGTGTGTACAAATTTTTGTATGGCAGGATTCAGATTCGTGACACTAACATGTTTTCAACTTTTTTGTTTTCACACCATGCTACTAACATGTTAGGCTTGTCCATGACAAATGATGGATATAGAATCTATTAATGGACATATCAGGTTTTTTCTTTTAATGATCTCACATGTCAGCCCATCAAAAGTTAGTTGGGAGTTTTAAATTGTGAAATGGGAAGAGAAAAAAAAAAAAAAAAAAAAAGGATAATTATAACTCAAATTGTATTTAGCTTCAAAATGAGAAGGAAAAAGGTGGTGAAAATTGGATAGTTAACTTCTCTTTCTAAAATGAGAGGAAACATTTAGTGTGAAAAGGAGGACAAAAATTGGATAGTTTGACTTCTCTTTCTAAAATGAGTGGTACATATTTAGTTTTAAAATGAGAACGATAGGAGGACAAAAATTAGATAACTTCTCTTTTCTAAAATGAGGAGAAAATGATTAAGGAAAGTGTAATGCTACTACGTGGTATCCTTCTTGACACTTTTTATGAGCTCTTTTTTAATTAATATACTTTGGACAAAGAAAATAATACACAAATTATATCATCACATTACTAATATTAAATTGATCTCATTGTAAAAAAAATTAGTTAAAAACATCATAAAGTTAATACTGTAATTTGATAAATAAAAAAAAAAAGAGTATGTAAATTCTTGATTGATTCATGTGATCTAGAGTAAATGGATTTTAGTACAAAATTTTGACTATATAATTCTCGCCTCAATATTTGTACATAACGACAACAAAATGACAGAGACCACGTGACAACTCATGGGAGCATTACTTTAAAAAAAACACTAGTAATTAATTCTTGTGTTCTTATTCTTACATGTTTTGGTTAGATATAAACTAGTGAAAAGCAAAAATTAAAGAAAATGAAGTGAATGAAGGAAAATAAAATTTTCATTATGTATTTGATTAGTATGAATAAAAGATAAGGTATTATTGTAACTTCATAAAACTTTCTTAAGAAATTGAAATTTTATTTGTTTTTTTACTTTTTTTTAAGAAAAAATTTGTAAAAAAAATTAGAGCATCTAGTATGCATCATACACCTTATCTATCTATTTTTTTAAAAATAGAGTACCATATAAGCATTATTTAATCAAAAATGCTTACATGGTACTCTACTTTTTTTAATGAAAATTATTTTACAATATGCAGCGTCAATATATATCTATTTATTATTAAATTAATTTAATTCAAAAATTAAATTCTAGAGATGAGCCATCCACCGACTATAGCTAAAGATGTTGAGAAAATGAATCAAAAACTAATAAAGAAAGCCAAAAAACTGAATGCGGCATTCCAAACAATACTCTATTTGCAGAGAACGCAATAGACAATCTCATGTAGGGGCCACAAAAAGCGCATTGATTGTAAGCTATACACCGCACCCCCCCTCTCTCTCTCTCTCTCTCTCTACTTTTCGCAAATATTATCTACTTTGTCTACTGTTCCAAATGCTCTTAGGTGTTGAGAAAAGTAATTTTTTCTTTTTTAAAAAATTGAATTTTAATGATATTATTTGTCCAAAACAGAGAATCTTACACTATGCAAAGATGAATCAGATTATCTATTGGGAAGACTTTTTTTGGAAATAGAAAAAGATGAATATGCATAATATAGTGTGTCAGTGTGTAATGTATATATATGCAGAGACCTTTGACTTGAAGGCTATTTTTGTCTTTATAAATAAAAATAGATGATTATAGTATGTAACCGAACTGAGAGCAAGCAAACAAACGGATATATGGTAATAAAGGCTACCTAAAAAAATCAATAGAAATCCGACATTTCCTCGCAGTTTCGACCCCCTTGGGATGTCATCTTTTGTCATGCTCCTCCCATAACAGCATTAACCCCCCATCTTCTCTCTCCTCTCTCTCTCTCTTTCTCTCTCTTCTCCATGGATTCAGACTTCTGGACCTCTCGCCTTGCTGCCGCTAAACGCCAATTCAATTTGCACAACCACCACCACCGTCACAGCTCCCAACTAGCAGGTTCCTATATGTGTGGTGTGTGTGCAGAAAAAATCTGTTTTTTTTTTTAATTTATATATATATATAAATAATTTTTGGGTTGATTTTTTGGTTTTCAGATCGATTGAGCATCGATGATTTCGAGGTGGAAGAGGAGGGTCGGTCTGATTTTACATGTCCATATTGTTACGAGGACTTCGATTTTGCGTCTCTCTGCTCGCACCTCCAAGACGAACATTCTTGCGAGTCCAAAGTCACCGTGAGTTTCTCTTTAGATCCATGTATGCATGTTTTTATATATGTATATGTATATATATTGATATGTATGTATCCATATTTATCTTTGTCATATGTGTTTGTACAGCTTCGTCTCGTGTTTTCACTTTCCTTTTCTTCTTTCTATTGGAAAGTTATGATCTTTGCCCTGTTTTTCTGTAAGATAATTCATGTCATCATCTAATTTACTGAAAATAAAATGTGAATTTTCTGTTTTGGGTTATGCAAATTAAAGTTCCAATTTTTCTCCTTGTGATGTGGTTTTGTTTCGATATTTTCTATTTTATTTTTCATGTGCGCATATGGATGTAGGGGTAAATAAGTAGAAGAAAATATATATATATCTCTTTGGTGGGTATATGGGACCAGCCATACTTTATGGCATAAAATGTTGGGCAGTGAGGAAGCAACATATGCATAAAGTGAGTGTGGCGGAAATGGGAATGTTGAGATGGATGTGCGGTAGGAAGGATCGCATTAGAAATGATCACATTCGTGAATGGTTGGAGTAGCACAAATTGGTGATAAAATGAGAGAACATTGCTTAAGATGGTTTGAACATTGCAAAGAAGACCTTTCAAGTTTGCTGGTTAGGAAAAGTGACATAGTCCACATTGATAACACGTGGATTGAGGCTATGGCCTTAATTAGAGCATAATTGAAATATATTATTCATGTAGCCGGCCTCACTCTCAAGTAGGTGGGAAAAAGTCTTGGTTGTTGTTGGTGGGTGTATGGATAGAATATAATGGAAGAAAATGATAGAATGGAATAAGAGAATTCATGTTTAATCACATCTCATGTTTGTAAAGGCCATTAGCCATTGTTGTCACCAGCTGCTTCCTGTTATAGGTTGAAGAGATATGTAACATTTTGATAGCCTTGGCTCGTGAAGATCATTTTTTGAAACCTGGATGCAGCATAGCTTATTATAGTCATTATGCAAAGGAAATTGATTTGAGAAATTGAAGCCATCCAAAGACCCCTTCCACACCTAGGTGATTGACCTATTTCCTGATTTTCTTTCATCCTACTTATCCCTAAAAAAATAATAATAATAAATAAAATAAAAATAAAAAAATCCCATCCTAACCTGTAACCTAGCATAACGGCATTATTAGTGAAGCAACTCAAAGTAGAGGTAAGTTTGGTAGATGACAAATAACATTGGCATTAAAGATGAGGTACAGATAAGCCAATATTAGGACTATATAATGTAAATTACATATGAAACGTTGTCAGAAACACACCTCAAGTGACGTGAAGGAATATACTGGTTTTTGTTGAATCCTATGGGGAGGTGACCATGAACAAGTTTTCATATGGAAATGCCAAAATAAATGAGAAAATGATTGGTTGTGTCGAGTATGCATTGTGGCACAACGATGGTAGTATGTTTCATTGCAGGAAACTACCATTATGGCTATCGTGATTACCGTGCATAGACTCTACGTTGCTCAACAAAAAAGAATCTCGACGATGTTGGAAACTTTTATTTCGTTTCATTATATCTTGACAGGAATGAGATTTTGGTTTTCTGAACAAGAATTCATTACCCAAAGGGATTTGGGGAAGGGGGCAAGAAGAAGAGAAAAGTGAACGTCTTCATTGTTCTCATTGTATTTGTAATCCTTAGCCCTACAATTGATTGATGTCATGATTAACCAGTTTAGTCACAGGAATCTTATACTGCATCCACTTCTTCCTCGCAGGTTTGTCCCATTTGCTCTGTTAAAGTTGCAAGCGACATGTTAAGTCATATTACCCTGCAACATGGACCTTTTTTCAAGATATCCTTCTAAATGGAAATATGATTACTTTTTATTTTCTCCTTACATGATTTAATAACATGCATATGTAGCTATTCAATTCATATTGAAATTTTTCCTTAACTGAAGATCACTTGCAGAGACGTCGCAGGTTACGTAGAGCTGCAATTCCCAGCAGTCAGGCACTGTCTCTCCTAGGAAGGGATCTTCGTGAGGCCCATCTGCAAGTTCTTCTAGGAGGTGGTGGATATCAGTCGAACAATGCGTATTCATCTAATGCAGTTACTGATCCATTCCTTTCATCTCTTGTCTTGAACTATGCTGCATCCGAGGCAGAAGAAATTTCAAAATCTGTGGTATCCAGTGCCGAGGACACTTCTACAAGGACCAAGGCACCAGCGCACATATGGAAATCAAGGTACTGTATTAAAATTCATTTCTTTCTTTTCATCCATTGTTAATTATTTATCTACTGAACTACTTATTTGCAAATATGCGTAATTTAGATGTCATTTAAGTACTACATAGGGGATTCTTTTTTTTTTTTCCTTAGTTGGTACTCACACACAGGCTTGAACCCTTGACCTCCTTTTGGGAAGTAAGGGCTTGAATACCGCTAGGCCACTGGCCCGTTGGTCACTACACTACATGGGGGATTCCTCCACCCAGCATGACAAGATAATACTATTCCACAGCTCGTGGATGGTGGTTCTTGACTAACATTGCTAATCAAAATCCTGTTATCATACCATTAATGCACCTTTTTGTTTTTATTTTAAAGAAGAAAAAGGAAAAAAAAAAAAAAAAAATGGAGGAGAAAAGAGGATATGAGAACAAATTATCTGGAGAAGAAATGGATAGTTCATTTTATCTAAAAATAATCTGGGGTGTGCTTGCTTGTTCAATTATGTAGGATTTGGATTAAGGTATAGCAGTTCATGATTCTTTTTAGGGTTTTTATCAAAACAATTCTTTTTGTTCTAAAGTATAAACAATCATGCTAGAGATTATGCTTCTCAAAAATACACCCCAAAAATAAGTTTAGAGTGGACCACTTTTACGCACCTAGGTGATGGGCCATTTGAGAAAATTTGGAGCCAGATGAATTGCTACTGATTTCTCTCTCTCTCTCTCTTGTGCAGTTTTGATCCATCATTAAGTTATGAAGAGCGGGAAAAAAGGACAAGACAGGCTGCTGGAAGAGCTTCTTTTGTCCAAGATCTGCTTGTCTCAACTCTTCCGCTAGGCGACTAGTGGGATGCAGTAAGTTATTAAAAAAAATAATGTTAATTGAGTTATTTGGCAGTTGTGATAAGGGGCAATGTTGGGTGGAATAGAATTGTTTCATATTGTTGAACAACTCAATGAATGCCTCATTGGATGTACTAGTGAAGCAGTGTTAGTGAGTGCTTGATCATAAAATCAATAATTTTAAGCTTCTCTAAACGAGAGATGTTCTGCTTTCTCATGAAAATACTAATTTTCTTTGTTTCTAGAAATATATATATATACATACTTTTAAGACTTGTTATATCCCCAGAAACCAAATTCTCAGTAAGGAATAGTCTCTTATGCGGTTATGTTCTGGTTGGTCCCCAAGGGAAAAGAAGACAAAATGTGGAATCCTACACACATAAAAATTATTACACTGGATAAATTTTAATGGTTTGGAAATAGAAATGCTTTTCGTTTGAGTAGAAATAATGCAAACCTCTACTATGATTTGATGGTAAGAACGCGATGCATGTTATTAGCTTAAACTAATTATGGTTGTCTGTTTTTCCTGTTAAGCACTGAATAACCTAACCTGGTGCTAAAGTTGCAACGTCGCCTGGATCCTCTACTGTAGTGGTGCTGTAATTTGTTAACACATTTATTCTGTTTTTTTAAAACAGTAATTTTTCAGCACATTTATTCTGTTTTTGAGCCCATTGAATCTGGCTGAAATATGTAGATATAATGTATTGGAAATATATTTAATTGTGTTGAAAAACCCCGACAGCACGGTGCTGTAACAGCAGAGGATCTAGGCGCGTTGCAAAGAGACTTGAATTATTCTCTCTCCTAGTTTAATTTACTTGAGCTCTTGTTGATATGAAGTAGTTGTGAGAAGTTGGAATAAAAGAATGTCCTATGAAAATTATGTAATTGAGATGGATCATATTGCACAATGACTGCTAGTTTACATGCCTTGTTGAAGTGACAGAATTTATCATCATTTGATTGCCCAGTAAATCTAAACCAGCCAGTAGTTTCATTCAAGAAGAGTTTCCAATCCAAGAAGTGAGATTCCAAATGTCATTTGTTGCTACTTTTTATGGTCAACCTCATCGATTAATGAGATGAGCCCTCGCATTCGAACCCAAAAAAAAAAAAAAATTGTGAACTAGGGACGGATGGGATTAAGAGCAAGTGGGAACATACTGTTTTGTTGATTTCAATCGTCTTCAATGCATTGTAGAGGTCACCGGAGAGAATTTTCGCTCCTTAGATGCATCGAGTAGCTTATACTAAGCCTCTAAGGTGGACAAATATCTTTCATGTGAGTTTCCGTACTGTTTCGTCCAATTAGTGAAGTACGTTACAATAAATGATAACTCATGTTACAAAATGTTATAAAGTTGGGTGAAGCTTGAAATTTTATCACAACATTATTTTAACACGAATTTATCATTTATTATAACTTCTCGAATAGAACTGGAACCCACCAGAGAGGATTTTGGTCCAACTAGGGTACCCAGCCCATAGATGTATCAAGTAAGGGCTGGGTACCTTAGTTTAAGCTATTTGGTTGTTTTTTCTTGGCTATAGACAAATTTTGTATATTTGAGCTAGTAACTTGTAACTAACTGATGAAAAGGCAAACCGTGATATGTGAAACATGTTCAGATTAAATAAATAGGGTTTGATACAAAATATTTGGACACTAAATATAAATATATTTAATTTCAGTCCTCCCAATGGAACGCACACCATAAAAATCGGCGTTAGAATAATTTTTCAAACACCAAGATCAGGCATCAAGCTTTTTTGGTTGATTTTTTTAATTTATTTTTATTCTGACAAATTATAATAAAGAGGGATCCTAATATTAGCACACCGGTTCAGAAAACTAAACTTTTTAATTGACTCATTAAAAAATATGCAAAACGCCGTGTATATCCATCCATTAACTACTTCCCAAAGCTCTTGTCACAAGTCTCTTTGACCAAGACAACCCTCCTCATCCAATCGCTGACCAATTCAACAATCCTAATTGTGGAAAATCAAATGAGACAGTGAATGTCGTAGCCTAGACTTCATTTTGGGAATTCAACAATCCTAATTGTGGAAAATCAAATGAGACAGCGAATGTCGTAGCCTAGACTTCATTTTGGGAGCACTTTTTGGTGCAGCGACAATTTGTAAGAATATTGAGCTAGGCCAAAAGGTTGGGTAACGAGGAATCATTCCAGCCATGTGTCATTTGAACACGTGGCTACAACGTGAGCTCTGGACTTTTTGAAATCACCCGCAAACCATATATATCCCATAAATACTTGGATCTATTTTTCAATGTCCATAAATCTGAAAACATGTCTTATATATTACATGCCTGAAAAATTAAACACGAGTCGTGCCCATTGTCACCATTTTTCTAATGAATCTTCCTTGCACACACACACACACACGCGCGCATATATATAAAGACTTAGTTTATATTATGCTGCATTGTTTTCTAGACAGTTTAACAGCTATGCACGCTGTAACCTCAGAGCCAGTAGCAGTTGGGAGGGTGGTGTCTCTTACCATGCAAAGGTTTCTTAAATTGCACGTAATATATCATGCGTTAGGTGGTACTTCTGAACTTTCAGATACTTAAGCACAAGCCAGGAAACAAATGAACACTATCTATAAGCTGATCATAATACAGCAAAGAGGATTCAGATTTATAATCTCACGAAACCATACCGTGAATCAAGCTTACTGACAAATTCACTAAAAAATATAAATTTAACTGAGAAAGCGATCTACTACGAAAAAATCTATGAGAAAGATGACTATTCTTTAATAATAATAAATAAATAAGAAGAATGTTGAACAGGGCTGAAATTGCAGCAACTCACATGCATTGAAGCTGAAACAAAGACGATGTACACAAAAAAATAAAATATACATCGGAATAATATAGGACTGGTCTACCTTTGTCCTAGCGGCTTTGGTCTTAACTCCCAAGCCCTGAGTCAAGGTTCCGAGACTGGTAGAGAGAGAAGAAACAAAAAAAGAATAATATAGAAGGCATTTGATCACTATAGGATTGCTCACATCAACAAGGAGTCCTCTAACATTATAGTCAATAATGAGAACTTCACTTTGATGGTGATCCTGCCACTCTCTACACAGAGCTTTGCACCAGTGACCACCCAATACCCCGGTGTATCCTCCGGACCCCTAACCATTTCCTTTGTATCCACAAAGTATGACATTTTCGGTGCTCTTGCTGGTAAAGGTGGCCCCCCTGGATAAACCGCTGAATTCAGATCCACTTTTGTTGGCTTCTCAATTGGAGTCAATCCCACACTGAAAGTTGTGCTGATCAACATTGACATTAATCCTGATTTCCGAGATGAGTGAGTTGGTCCATCCCACTCTGACCTACGGATGCTTGCAGATGCCACCATCGAAAATCCAAGCCTCAGGAACAACACTTTCTTCATACCCATAGCCCTGACCTCAAACCAGGCCTTTGTCACGATAGAAGCAGAGTCATCAATCCGTGCTCCATTGTACTGTACAGGAGCAGTGCAGACGTGTGAGAATATGCTCCATTTGACAGGTTCAAAGTAGCCTCGTTCAACCGGCTCGTCAATTGGCTCATAACTAGGATCGTCAGATAGTTGGAGGCTCTGTGGAAGAGCCGACAGGTGCTGTAGATGTATAGCCAGGTGGTCATTCTTCCTACCTTCCAAGTATAAGCGGATGCCAGTCACTGGCCGGTTTTTGGAGTCAACCTGCAAAATTGACTCAGGAATCAGAAAGTACTAGGAATACAAAAGAGAGAGAGAGAACAATCTTCTTGAATTCTGCACAAGCAGAAAATTGCAAATCTGTTATGCTATCCACCAACCAACTATTATAGGCACTGAAAACAATTAGATCTCGTCAATTAATGTTTTTTTAACGTTTCTATCAACTAGAACATCCCTCCCACATTTTTTTAAATCCTTGTTAGATTAATAGACCAACTTCCTAAAGTGAAATAGGCACAAGGAAAGACAAGACACAAAGGCAAGGAGCATCTGGAAGAAGAATGGCAAGAATCAATAGAAAAGGTAACTTTCTAGTTTCTAGTGACAATGATGAAGTAGCATTTTGATCATGGCAAACAATTACAAGAAAGTATGCTTTTTGGTCCATTTAGATGTGGAAGGCAAGTACTACGGGAATCCACAATTCACAGATAAAATAATTTGGATTTCAAAATGTCCCAAGTACTTGTTCATTCAAAACAATCACTATCTAATTATCTTTCCTCTCTTAGAAATCCCCCAGAGCATGGGACGCAAAGCATTTGCAAAATTTGAATCCATACTATAACAATATTTATATGGTGCAACATAAGAACTTACCTTTGTAGTGTTAACATAAAGCTTTGGGCCCATAAAAGTGAACTGAAGTGATGGAGACACTTGTTTCTTGCGCCGATGACCAAGTGGAAAATCACCATACACTGGAGCCCACTGTCGAGGTAATTGAAATTCTAGAAATTGATGGAGTTCCTCTATTGGCGGTTTATCTGCAGTATTATTGATCAGTTAGCAGATACAACAGCCTCGGAAGAACAAAAAATGAAAATGACAATTTTACATATGGTGCTTTCTCATATACCAGAAATGACTCTCATGAGAGAACTTTACAAATTTCTCAGAAACATACCGGCGTTTCACATGCACAAACTATGTACAGGAGATCAAACCTCCTATATAGCATGATATATGAGCAAAATGCAGTAGTGGCAATCAAAAACACATTTATCATAATTAGTTAGTAATATGTTACATGAAAATCAACATAATAGGTGGGGGACACGGCCAATTTCGTCACAACTCCTAATTAAATTTCATAAAAGAAAATGTTACATTAAACCCTAAACACCCCAACTGCCAGAAACTTATTTCGACAACTTTGGTATAAATCATCAATATAATAACATAGTTAAAAACTCATACTAAACCCAACTCAACTCAGCAAAGACTTCTTGCCTCGCCTAGTTGGGCAAATTAACAGTTTCAGAAAAAGAGTGCTACCAGGCTCTCATAGTCGGTAAACATCTGGTAATGGTTTAAAAAGATGTCAGAATAGGAGAACAGAATATATGTTGAAACATTCTGTTCTCCTCCATATATTTGTTGAAAGACCTAGACCCTACTCCCCTTTTCTCACTCAGTGACAGCAGCAGAGGTAGGGTCCTTTCAGAACCAATTTCACATGTCTTACGGTAGAATGTCTCAGTGTGAATATTCAAATCATGTCCTGAACATATTCAAATCATGCAGTCTTTTCAAAAATGATTTTTGGACCTAGGACAGCATTATGAGATGCCATGTGCTTGTTCTGGCAAATTAGTTGTGATTCCTCCAATTTCCACATGCTGAAGTAAAATACAGGCCCTAGATACCAGATTTCATAATTTTATGGGCAAGCAATAGCATACAACACTAGGTTTTATACCCATATAGGAAACAAATAACAAGATGGAGACGATCATACTCACACCGAAGGTACAGATTAATTGCATGGCTCAGAAACCCACTACCGCGGACACCACTCAAAAGTGAAGCTATAGGAACGAAGGACATTGATATGACATTAGGTGACTGTGAGATGGTTGAAAGCCACTGATTATGACTTTGGGCATGATCAACGCCTCCCCGTCGAATATGAATGCTTAATATATCCTGCACAAAAGATAGATAAATTAGCTTACATTTTAGTCTATTCAGAAAAGGATGAACCACACATACAGCCAAAGAAACGACTTCTGAGACAGGTGCAAGAAGCTTACATCATTTTTTGAAAGAGAAACGATGGACGGTCTCATTAAACTTGTAAATGGTACATGGAGATCCCAGACTACAGAGCGTTGATCCTGTAACAATGATGGGGAGATTAAACTAAAATGAGGATACTCTAGAATTATGTTGTTCTCATTTTTGTTACTGATTCAAGTAAATTTGTGTACTATTACATATTCCTATCATGTGTCTCTTGTTCTTTGCGTGAATTCCTAGAATAAAACCACAATTGACGCACTGATGTCTAGTAAATAATAGATTCTTTAAACAGATTGGTGTGTTGGTGTCTCAAATTATGTCAATTTAACTATTATATTCCCAAGCCTCACTGGTGTATGAAGGTCTCACTTGTTATTAGGCTTGAAGCAACAGTCCTTTCTCAAAGAGGCCAACGGTGTCCAAAAGGTTTGAGGGACTGCCCCATGGCAGTTAATAAAGGGCAGCCCAGCCATAGCCAAAACTTAGGTGGTACTTTCTTTAAAAATATTTATTCTATTGTGAGTTACCCCAAAAAAATATGACCCATACGTAATGGATTTTCATCTATGTTACATGGACTATCCTCTCTCCCTATACATAGTCGTGTCCACAAGACACGACATGGGTATGGGTGTATGGATATGTGTCTGACACACGAACTCAAATCGGAGACCCCAATCCTTCACATGTGATGATTAAAGAAGAAGTAAAAACCCAAATTTGATAGAAGATAGGTTTCTTACTTTTGAGATAGGTTTCCTACTTTTGAGATAGGTTTCTACCCCTTTGTTACCGCATGCCACTTAATTAAAATCACAGTTGAGTATATCCTTAAAGAACAGCAACATCAAAATTACACCAATTGTATACAAAAATAAAATTTTAAATGCATAGTACATGTCCACATGCCCACATCCAACTTTATGTCACATGTTCCATCTCCTTAGATTCGGGACTAGGGAGCTCAACACTTAGACACACACCTGCACCCAATACTCACACTTGAGTCCATGTAATATAGATTTTGAGTGTTGTTGCAAAGTGTGTTACTTTCCTCAGTTGTGTGTGCTTTCTGAGATTGTCCTGTGTTGTTAATTTTGCATCTTACATTTATCCTTGCTTTAGGACTGAATTTACAACACAGATTACATGCAAAATAAATAATTTTTTTTTTTCAGTAGTAATATTTTTTCGTTTTGATATAGAGCAGTTTTTTGTATTACTTCTTTCCCATTAATTTTTTTAGTCAAAAAATAGGATCTAAATTTAACATTAACTATGCACTCCTCCGATGCATTCACGTCGTCAGTTGGTAAAGAAAAACTAAGGAAATAAGGTTTAAACAATCAGCTTAAAAAGGTTCCACATTTTATTATGGCTTCAATTTCAATATTCTTGCATTTATGTACCAATTTCATATCCTATTACTAGAAGAATAAATCATGTTGAATTATCAACATGTAGAGACTGAAAATTAAATTTAAAAAATTGAGGTCGTGTTTCTGAGCAAAGAACAGAATCAACTTCTATTCAATTCTGATTCCTGGTTTCTGCATACCTTCAACTTTCCTGATGATTTGTCAGAATTTGGTGCGAAGCTTTCGTTGAGATCTTCAGAAAATTTTTCATCAGCTTGTTGCTTTAACAATTTCTGCACTTCAGTTGGCTGAAGATTTGAATTTTGTAGCTGCTTAATGTAAATTACATCTTTACCTCCCATCTTTACCCCAACAACAACATGAGTTCCATATTTTTCAATAAACCTGAAAAATCATTTATCAAATTTTAAAATAACTAAATTCTATCAGCAAATAAGAATAATCACTTAAAATAAACTGACTGTCAATTACTAATCATAGTGGCTTCCATACCTTGTATGGGGTAAAGAAATAGAAAAGTTATGGCTTTTCCTTCTATCGGCAAAGGTGTTCGATCAATTTTCTCAATGTAGCCATGCGTTATTAACCATTTCATCTTCCATGTCATTACATGAGTTTAAGAGTTTGCTGTTTGTCTAAATTACTGATGGTAAAAATAGGATAAGAAAGTGAAAATATTTTCAGGAATGTAGATCACTTTAATCATTCAAGAGAGAATAAAAAATAAAAAAATCAATCCACTGGTCAATAATATCAGATCGTTATCATAGGTCCTGAAATTGGATTAACAAAGATATTTGATTTGAGAAATTTTATTTTATATTGATCTGCTCAACTTAAATTATTTAGTTAGGTTTTTAGTGCAAAATTCCATATTGCCAATTAATGTGCATCACTTATATCAGTCACCTAGCTCCCACATTCCAGGGATTTGATTACAGTGTCTAAGACCAGAAAAGAAAAGAAACGATGAACTAATTATCATTTAATTGGCATCTTGAGAAGAAAATATAAGATAATAAACATTTTGGTCAGCCTAAAAACTTACAAAGAAATTATGCTGGTATTTTCATTAAATTATTGGATTATTAAATGAAGAAGGTACCGGTGGAGCATTAAATAACGGCATTCAATTGTTGAGCTTTAAGTTAAGGATCTTACTCAGTAAGGGCAGCAGGATCCCATGTAGAAGGCACTTCTTTTTTCACATTCTCCGACAACGTTATCTGGGATCTTGCTAACTCAATATTGTAAAGAGTAATGATCCAACCATCAAAAGCAAGACTTTTTGTGGCAAGTGCATCCTTTTGCCAGCAGCCCCTGAAGCTGAACATTGCGTTGAATAAGCCAGAGGGTATTTTACCAGATAAGGAGAGTTCCTGATTCAATTGCTCTGACATCTGGAATACATAAATTCATTAGAGAAGAAACAAGAATCATGGAACAAAAATCACCCAACGTCACAATATATTCTAACAACTATCATACATTTATCAGATACCATATTATATTAATTTGGGATTTTAATCTCTCAAAATGTTGTGTGTATATCGCATGTGAATATATCAGATATATTTCTGATTATTTCTCACTATATAATTGAAAACTGGATACATCACAAGATATATTGCAACATATGCATTGCTTAAAGAATTTCGAAAATACTGAATGTATTTAGCTTTATTCATTTTTTTCCAAAGAAAATAACATAATTCCATTTTAAATGTGACGTCCCACATCGCCTAGAGCGAGAGGTTTGATGACACTTATATATGTGGACATCCCCCTTAACCATGTACACGCGTTTTGAGGAGAGCGTGCAAAGCGGACAATATCTACATGGTGTGGGCGGGTCGTGACAAATGGTATCAGAGTCAATCCCAAATGGAAAATGGGGGAGCATGCAAAAGCTCGTGAGGGTCCGGCTAGCATTGTTATTAAAGGCCCAAGGCGCACCAAGGCGCTAGAGGTCCCTAGGCGCGAGGCGCGCGCCTGATTGAAGTGAGGCACACAATTGAAAATTTAAACTACCATAATAGCATTCATATCTTCATAAGTCAATCAATATTCTAAAAATTAATATCAAATATAAAAAAGTAAATCCATCAACTATACAAGCATCCAACAACCATAAAACAGAGCACAATTTTGTTTTCTTGAAAGGCAAAGCAAAATGTGTTTTTTTGAATGGCAAAACAAAGCACAAAAAGAAATAAATATGTTAACCCAAAAAAAAAAAAAATTGTTAACAAAGAAAAAAAAAAAAAAGACAAAGATGAGAGAACTAGACGAAGAGAGAGATGTAAACAAAGATAAGAAGAGAGGAGAGATCTAAAGTACAAGAGAGAGAGAGAGAAAAAAAATAAAAATAAAAAAATAAAAAAGAGAAAGAACTGGCGTGGCTTCGCCGTTCATCTTTGCAACTAGGGCTTCGTCTTCGACTCACAATCTCATTCTATCGTTGTTCGGTTAACACTTTGACTCTTGGGCTTCCTTATTTTTTTATTCTTTTGAACAAAAGTTCCTTCTATCGTATGATTGAGCTTTCTTTTTTGTTCATTAAGTTGCCAAAAGTACCTTTTTTGGCTTAAGAAATAAAACAATCGTATTTTTTTAAACAAATATCAGTGAGGCGCGCCTAGGCGCACCTCACAAATAGAACAAGGCGCAACCGAGGCGCGCGCCTAGTAAACATCAGTGAATTTGGGATGACAACAGGAGCTAAACCTGAGCCTAGAGCCTAGGCGTGCCTTTAACAACACTGCCGGCTAGCGGGACGCTGGTCCCAAGAGGGGGTGATTGTGACGTCCCACATCACCCGCGGGGGGAGGGGGATTGATTGTGTGGACATCCCATTAACCAAGTAGACGCATTTTGAGGAAAACCGTGAGCACTGAGAGGAGAGTGTGCAAAGCGAACAATAACTACACAATGTGGGCGGGTCGTGACTTAAACATAAACCGAGTATGAGTATATCACCGACTTTCTAGCATCTACCAATATTGGGTAGAGTATTGCTAGATACTTTCAAGTTCAAACTAGACAGGAACTCGATTTGGTATTTACTGAATGGATGATTATATTAAGCTGTTATGAAAGCTATATTTATATTTGAACTTTCAAGTTCAAACCAGATAGGAAATCGATTTGGTATTTACTGAACAGATTATTATATTAAGCTGTAATGAATGCTATATTTATATTTTGAACTTTACTCAATATGTGGATTAATGTTTAAATCTTACATTTGAACTTTATTTAATATGGAAATTCGTATCTAACCCTTTCTTTATGTTAAGATGATTAAGTTTTATGATATTATTGTAATGATTTGGTATTTACTGAACAGATTATTATATTAAGCTGTAATGAATGCTATATTTATATTTGAACTTTACTCAATATGTGGATTAATGTTTAAATTTTACATTTGAACTTTATTTAATATGGAAATTGGTATCTAACCCTTTCTTTATGTTAAGATGATTAAGTTTTATGTTATTATTGTAATTATTTTCATTTATATTTTCAGCAGCACACATATTTTATGCCAACACACCAAAGAGTTATCAAATATACATTTTATTTTTAAAAAATTTACTTTATACCATGCATTAGTATTTCTATTACCAACTCAAAAAAAAATCATTAAAATTATCACAATTGCAATTAATATCCATTACTTTGATCAAGAAAATTGTTATATCGATATGCAATTGTGATTAATCCATACTTTTGTGCTTGTGATGTGTCCTTTTTTCTCAATATTTTATTCCTTGGTTATAACTTTCATATGATTAACCCACTCTCAAGTCTCAACTAAATTCAACCAAGCATTATCCCAACTATTGAGGATTGATTAAATTATTCCCCCGCACCCAAACCCCTCCACCCCTTCCCCAGCCACATCTGCTCTATCCAAGAGAGGTTTTTTGTTATTTTTTTATAGTTAAGAGATTGATGCACAGAGTACTCTCTTAGAGTCAATAGACAGAGTTAGCAGAATTGAGAGCTATGACTAACGGTAAGCCATGGAGATGTTCTAGAGTATGTCTCCTTTATGGTAAGAGTTTACAATGTACAGTAAATTTATAATTTACTTATGTGATATCAATTCAAGTTTATTCAGGAGTAAAATCATCCAATTCTTATTTATACCAGAAGGAGCACCTCACTTATGCCTAAACAAGGCTGAAGCAAGATAACAGATCAAAAAAGGACCACTACCAGTTTACAAAGATATGCAATAGTTACACAAAACTAGAAACTTGAGTTCACATAACACTCAAATTAGTGTTCTTGAGAGTAAAGTCGTCAAATATTGATCTTAATGTCTCAAAACCAAAAAAATTTGTATGCTTGAACTTCAAAAGGCTCTGGAAAGGGATCAGAAAAGAAAAATTCAGTTTATGAAATGTGTAAAATTCTAATAATTTAGATTGACAGACTTCAACTTAGCCTTCTCGAGTGTAAAATAATCCATTATTGATAAACATTTACAAGCATGTAACTTGTGCTTGAACAAAAATGTAGTAAAAGACCAAATTGAAAAAGGAATCCCCGGCTTGCCAAATATAGAGGTTATTGCTTGATGTACTAGTAAAATACTTAGGCTATCAAGTGAGAGAACATGAATTCGAATACTGAAAGTAGTCACTTTGCATATAATGGTCCAAGGTATGTATCCACCCCTCCCAGCACCCTTTGTTAATCAGGACTAAGTAGTGAGCCATTTAAAATTTTAAAATGTGCAACATTCTAGGAACTTGAAAACTTAGACTTGCTAGAACTCAAATTAGGCTTCTGGGAGGGAAAAAGTGTCCAATATTTGTCAATAGGTGCTTAAAAAATCTGTAGATAAAAAATAAAAAAATAAAAAAAAATGGATTGGAATGAATTCTCAACTTGTGTAGTGTGGAAAGGTCTACAAAATTTATAACTTACGTCCATGTAAGACCCAAAATTAGCCTCTACGTCCAATATTGATCTGAATGCTCTGAAACCAGTGCACCCAACTTGCATGTGCTTGAAGAATGTTGTAGGAATAGATCAGAATGAAAACACCCTATTTGACTTGTCAAAAAAAAACACCCGATTTGTAAATTAGGCCAGCTATAATATATGGAGCAGAGTGTTGGGAATTGAAAAAGACAAAAGAACAACGCATTCACGTAATAGAAATGAGGATATTACGTTGGATGCTAGGAGTAACTAAAAAAGATAGAATTAATAATGAACGTGTGAGGGGAACACTAGGTGCAGCGCCTATAAATAATATAATTAGAGAAAGTAGACTTATGTGATATGGGTATATCCAACGTAGATCTGATGATGCACCAGTTAGAGGACGAAGAGTTGCTTGCCTAGAAGGTAAAAGACACAAAGAGGCCAACCAAAACTTATATGGGATGAAGTAATAAAAAATTAAATTTAAGAGAAGAAATGGTATATAATAGGAAATAATGGAAAAAGGGAATTCATGTGGCCGACCCCAAGCAAAGATGATGATGATGATTTCCAAATTAGGCAACTATTAACAAAGTTTTTAACTTAATAAATGTTATTGCAGTCTAAGTCATGTACATGTCTCATATATTATATCTAGGGTTGCAACCAAACCAAGCCGAGCTAAGATTTTGGTTGTTCGAACTCTGCTCGATGATCAAATTTGAGCTAGAGTAGACCCAATAATGAGTGTTCGAGCTAGGCTATAACATTAATTGTCGAGCTCGTTTGGCTCGTTAAACTAAACAAGCCATTGAGACCAAGATTGATAAAGAATCAAATTTATTATAAATCCAAACAAACCCTAATAAATGAGTCAAGCTATAACATTAATTGTTGAACTCGTTTGGCTAGTTAAACTATAAACTCGCGCTTGAGACCAAGATTGATAAAGAAACAAATTTATTATACATCTAAAAAAAACCCTAATATATGAGTCATGTTCATAACATTTAACAAGTCAATTCATGAACATGTTCGTGAGCATAACAGGCTAAGCCAAGAAACTTGACTCATTACTAAACGAATTCGAAACACAAGCTCAAGCTCGACTTGTTTACATAGCAAACAAGCTCAAGCCTGAGCTTTAATGGTATTAAATCCAAGTTGTTTATTTGCACCCCTAATTATATCTTTCTAACAATACACTAACTATATTCCATTTATATTTTTTATAAAAAAAAGTAAGAAAAACATTAACTTTTCTCATTTCCAATGGTGACATAATTTTTGCATATTTTAGGAGGAAAATTCTGTCAGTAATGACATATCGTTTTGTGAAATACTATGGTATTTGAATTTCTTTTATCATACACATTAGTAACTCCATCCAACTCAAATTCGCCTGATTACCTCTCAATGGAAGGCTCCCCCTCCTTCTTCTTCTCCTTTTTCAATTTTTTTTTTTTCTATCTTTTTGGTGTGTGACAAAAGAATTCATCAAAAAGAACCCGGCTCTCGTGGTAAGATACATATAATTTAAACTCTGCAATTGTACACATAATTCAAGCTCCTATTCAATCGATTAAAACACACAAAAACCAGAGACTAGTTCTGCATAGGGAGAACAAACACAATTTTTTTTTTTTGTTTTCAAAAATGAAAACACTAATTTTTATTTAAGGCTTTTTTCAATTTAAATAATTTTATAAAGGCTCCATTGGGTCAGATGAAAATTAATACTCCATAGTGGAAAGTGAAAGTAAAAGAAAGTAAAGTGAATGAAAGGAAAATCAATTTTCCATCGTATATTTGATTTGCATGAAAAATATTCAAAAAAATTATGAAAAATTACTATTTTATGGTTTGAATAGCATGAAACTTAGCATAAAAGAAAGAACATTATTGTAACTAAATAAAACTTTCTCAAAAGAAATCAAAATTTTCATTTTTTTTTTTTTATGAAAAAGTTAGGTGATTGTGGAAATTGTTTTTTCCTCAAAATTTTCCTTTTCCTTTTCCTTCTTCTCAAACCAAGCTTAGTGTTCAGAAATTTTCCATTTCATTTCCGTTCTTGCTCTTTCTATCTAATCAAACGGTGCGGAATGGCAATTGCCATTTTCCATCTAAATTCCCGGGAAAATATCAATTTTATCAAACACCTCAATCTCAAGACAAAGAAAAGAAAAATTAACAATAACACCATTGGCCATTTATTCAGAAATTTCAATTTTCTCTGATTTTCCTACGGTTTCTGAGCAACCAAACAGGGCAAGGAGTAAATCAGAATCACCTGGTTAAAAGAAAGAACATCAGACCGAAATCTAGTCCGCTCTCCTTTATCGCACTTGATCACCGTCGATACGTTGGGGACGACGACTCCACCAGGGACGACGAGGTCTCTGGTCAGACTCCGATCGAGCTCGATCAGTCTCGAACCGGAAGGACCAGGTCTACAGGCCGATATTCGAATATCGGAGGAGAGATCGTAGCCAAAACCGATCACCGAGACGGCCTTCTCTGCCGCCGATTGGGGGTCGAGTCGATTGGCATTAAACGCCATTGATTTGTCTGGTCATTCAACGGATTAGTTATTGTTTGGCTTTATATGTTGATGAGAGTTTGAGTGCCGTTAGGGTTTAGTTGAAGGTTGAAGAAAGTGGTTGACCGTTGAAATTAGAAACTGCAGTGTGGCTCCACATTTTTATATATACAAACTGATATCAAAATTATTATCATATACATCTATGCGTGTTTGTATATATATACGTAGAACATATATATATATATATATTTGTATGCGTTGTGTGACTGTGTGTATATTGGATTGACTTGCTTTGTTGGACTTTTACGGCTTTGACGATGTGAAATCGAGTAAACAAGTGCGGCTGGTGGCGGCTGCACGCTGTCTTTGTTGGTCGCCACGTGGTGACTTAATGCGTGGAGTTGAAAATTATGCTACTATAAGTCCAAAAATTTGCCGGAGTGGTTGTTGGGCTTTTGGTAACTTATGGGCTTTGTAGTTTGAAAGGATCAAACTACAAAAACATACTGTATATCTCAGCCCATTTCGCTTATAAATTTTGTAGATATCATTGAGCAGATGTGTGTTTTTACTCTAGCTTATACTTATTACGAGTATTAGAAAAGTTATTTCATTGTCTAGGTCAATCACAATCCGATAAACAAAAAATAAGTGTGTCAGTTTTTTTTTGTTTGCATGTCATATCATTTCAAACTACGTAAAAATTTCTCTGATTGCTTTTATCCAAATTCAAATTAAACCCGATCTTGATTTTGAGATAACTCGACTATAATTCGGTTTGGGACTTTACCAATCAAATTGTAAAACCGTGTAGTCCTATTTTTAAAGTAAAAAGTCGAAGTCTCGTGAATAAAAATAAAAGAAATTTTCTAACATGCATTTGATTAGCATGAAAATTTATCTAATTATAGAAAAATATTAATTTATTAGTTTGAATAGCATGAAAGTGAAAAGAAAATGATTATGCATATCAAAACAACCTTTATGAAGTAAAATGATGGATTATTAAATTAAATATATAATTATTTATATTCATTTCTATTATTTATATTTAGAATAATGTTTCATAATATTTTCTTAGGTAAAACTAATTATTAGTGTAAGATAAACAAATTTTTAAAAAAATAATAAAAAATTAGATATGAAAAGGCAATACTACTGTTTGGGAGAAAAATCAAATATTTCACTATATAATATATATATATATATATATATATACATAGATATATACAGGATTATGAGTGTCTAGAATTGCAACATAGAACAGAACAATTAAAAAATATAAAAAATTCTATTTAGAAGCAGGATATGACCAATTTTACCTAAATTATCATTGATATTATGTATATATAACTGTACAATTTTACCTAAATTATCATTGATATTATGTATATATAACTGTATAATTTGCATTACCAACTTACCTCATACTGCAAATAAATAGGTATTTCTTTCACGTGAAAATAAAATTTTGGTCCTGAAAAATAGTCAAAGTGGGAACTAAATTTTTCATTATGTTTCTCTTTCTATCTATCCAAACTTGAAAAAAAAAATTAAAATTTTTTTATTTTCTTTCTTTTCTAACTATTTTCACGGTTCCACCTAACCAGACGCATGATAAACTAAAAAAAAATTATTATTTAAGTTCTCTTTCTTCACACACACACATATATATGCAATTTATTAAATTATTAAATTTTGAGATGCAGATTCATCGCATCCAAGAATTATTTTGATTTTTCTCTCATAAAATCACTTGACAGCTTGATGTAGGACCACATGCTAATATTAAGTATATAGTAAATCTGAGCATAAAATAAATTAATTTCACAACAATGTCCTACCTTTACACTCTACAATAAGGTGATTTTCATACTCAAACATGCAAATCAAATCACAAATCGAATCATCCACATTTACGAGCCTACAAAACCCAACCCAAACCTCCTTGCTTGGTCCTCTATTTCCTCTGCAAAATTTGTTGAATTCTTGCTAGTACGTACGTAAATTGAATCCTTAAAACGATACAAAACTATTTCATTAAGTATATATCAAAAATATCATCGCATACATATATATATATATATATATATATATATATATATTTTCAATTGCTTCGGTTATGTCAAAGATGACGGACAAATCCAAAGTCAACAAAGAGTATCCGAACGTTGATATTTTGTGTCCTCCTTCGTATATCCAAATGACAGCTGAAGATCTGGAAATAATGCGGCAGCCAAGATTGCGAGAATCGGAGTGGTTGTTGTAGGGAATAGTACTATGCATTTGTGTGTGTGTGCGTGTGTATTATAAGGTTTGGACCACTGATTTTTATTTTATATTAATTAATCGAGACGCATAGATAACGTGGTACTAAAATGTATATATACAAGTAGATTTCTTAAATTGGCCCACCTATAACCTTAATGACAATTAATAGAATGGATTAATCTTTTATAAGTTTGACAAAAAAGAAAAAAATAATAATAATAATAACAATTTCGGCCCTATTAATGAATCCAAAATTAATGACCAAGCTAGCTTTATGCATTTTATCATTAATGGCAGTCAACTTAATTAAGATTTTAGGTATGAATAAGTGATTAAATTAAGGGCAAAGTAGCAGATGCCTCGATAGCGAGCCCAGTGGTTAGTGCAACACTTTTTTTAATTCTTAATTCCCTTAAACTTCAAAATTTCATATCTCATAAATCGTACATTTAAAAGTTATAAATAATATATGCACGGAAAACTTATGAAATAAGAATTTCATAAATATAATATTTGTACAACAAACCTTCATGACCAGAGATAAATAGGTAATCTAAAAATTTACTTCCAACAATCTTATTTTACTTTTAAAAAATAAAATACTTGAGATATTTGAAAGAAAATTTTCAAAATTATTCATTTACATATGGAGCCGAATATAAAAAATAAATAAATAAAAAATAAAATTAGTCCCAACAGAAATCGATTTCATGATATATCATATTTTGCGTCAAAGTATTTTCATTCTTTTATAGACTTACTATTTAAAAAAGTATAAAAATGAATATTCGATCTCTATTGGAGCTAATTTTTTAATTTGTTATACTCCATACGAAAATGAATAATTCTGAAAATTTTATTACAAATAACCTGAGTATTTTATAAAAAATAAAATAAGATTGTTACATTAGATTTTTAGCTTGTCTATTTTTTTCTGGTTATGAAGTTTTGTTAAACAAATCTTATATTTCTGAAATTCTTGTTTTATAAGCTTTCTGTGCATATATTATTTGTAATATTTGGATGTACGATTTATGAGATATGAATTTTTGAAGTTTGAGAGAATTAAAATTTAAATAAAATAGCATTTTGGTCCAAATATCAACTTTTTTATCCCTTCAGATAGTTGAGGGGATTTTTTGGTAAAAAATTAGATAAAGAAAATTTATTAAAAAAAGACTACAAGTCGGGGATTTTTCTGTACATCACTCTTAAATTAATTATAGTCATCCATATAATGTTAGAGGTGAGTCAAGAGTTGGTTTGCGCCTACAAATATGTCATGCATAAATAGTTAAAAATTAAATTATTAAGTTACGCATGGTTATTTATACAATCTGGGTTATGAAATATTAAATATGAATTCAAAGTAGATTAGATTTTGAATATTATTGAATATATATATATATATATATTGCCAAATAACAGAACAATGAGAGAACTCTAGACGGAAAAGCAAGTTTGCTCAATTCATAAGCAACTTCGATATATATTCTAGGAAGCCAGAATAATGAAGTCTCCACAGAGTTAAAGTATTTTCTTTACATCTTCCAAAATACTCCGTAACTCACTAGACTGTTTTTAGAGGCTTGAAATCGGATACCAACGCAATACAATACGAAAACATCAATGTGTCAAATTTTAAAAAATTAATACACGCATACAACATAAATACGACTAATATAAATATAAATATTTAATTATATACTTTATATATTAAGTAAGACAATTATAGAAGTTTAATGTGTTTCTTTTAGCTTGAAGACCAAAAGCATAGGATGTGTTGTAGAATCCATAATGTACTTATCAAGTGGATCACATATGTCAACCACAAAGGTCTATTCAAAATAATAATTATTATTATAAAATTATGAATACGACCATGAATTATCATATATTACATGTCTAAGTAAGTGTTCTGACACAACATTTAATGTGAACACAACACCTTTGTAAAAAAGTACGTGCTTCTTAACTTGAAATTTCAACATTATATGATGATCGACTTCTACATGAACAACAAAAAAATCCATTCACTAACAAGTCTGCACAAAAGTCGACAGATAAGAAATGTTAAGGCAATTAAATCGAATTAAGTTACTATTTTTGTCTCTCATAATAACATCACTCTTGCGTTACTTTTGAAAAGAATTAAAAACAGCGTCAAGATTTAATTGTGAAAATATCAATGGCATTAGTTACAAAAATAAGATCCAAGGACATCTAAAACAAATAGTAATAGTGTGTTATAATAAATATCTTAATTAGAAAAAATATCTTAAATAAAATCAAACTGTTTCGTTTGGTTGGGGGATGAAAAAATGGATGGCAGTAATAGGGGGAGGGAGGGATGGATAAGATACTCCCTGGGGAAGGGATGGTGTCTTTCTCATTTTTCCCATTTTATATTTGGTTGAATGGAATGGATAGTAGAAAAGATGAATGGAGTGATTTTTTTTCTTATTTGGTTGAAATGAAGCGAAGGAAAGTTATTATATTATTTTTACCAATACACCCTTTTATATAAAATTATAAAAGATAGATATTTATTTCAAAATTTTTGAAAAAGTTAAAATTGTAAATTATAAATTTATGAGTAGTTATGCCTTCCTTCTTTCCTCTCTTTTCCCCAAAAGTGGGCCGATAAAAAAACATAAAGGAATCTCTCCTTGTTTCTTCCTTCTCTTTCCTTCCCGCCAACCGAAAACACGAAAATATTTATCCATTCCTCTTCTTATTCATGCCCATTCAATCATTCCCTCTAACCAAACATAGTTTAAATTTTATTTATTTTTTTATTTTTTTTTCGACATTAACCATCCTCAAAATTAGGGGTGGTAAATTACGACACGACATGAACACAACACGAGTTAAAAGGGTTTGGATTTGGCATAAACAGATTTAGGTCATAAAAGGGTCGGCACGGTTAACCCGTTTACTTAACCATGTCGGGTTAGGGTTGAGGAGTTCGATCCATGTAACTCGTTTATGGCTCTTTTAACTTAACATGTTATAATCGTGAATACGATCTATGTAATATGTTACCTGTTTAAACTCCATTATTATAGATAGTTAAATCATTTCAACATAAATCTTATTTATTATACCTTATGATTTTTCTTTTTATTTTGAATATTTGGGTTAATTATGACAATTTTTTTTTTTTTTTTTTTTAGTATTTGATTAAATATTAAATGTCTTTATTTTAATAAATAGATCATTAAACGGATTAATACATTTATCTATTTAATAAACGAGTTAAGTTAATATTAAAAAAATTTAATACGATTATTAAATGAGTTAAATTTAAATTTACTTATTTAATATAATATCTTTATATCAACGGGACACGAGCACATGAAAAATAAAATAAAAAAAAAGTCAAAAAATGTATTAAAACAAACACATGAAAATTATGTTAAAAAAAAAAAAAGTAACACTATGAATGCGTGTATATCACGTAGAGAGAAAGAAGTGTTCTTAATAAGAAATGTCGGATGAAACAGATAATACCGCTATCATAAAAACCTCCCGGTATTCTCAGACCTGGGGCGGTATTGCCGGCTTTTAGTTAGGTTCAGTCTCAGCACAACACGCTTCATCAACTGCAACACGTGTCGACCCAATATTGGGTCACCGCCTCCCACGTCACCTTTTAGTCCAAACGAGCGCTTCAAAAGGATTGAAAAGAGCTTTGCTGGAGCCACGCACCACTTACCAAGGCCGCCACCCCACTCCTCTCTCTCTCTCTCTCCCACTTTCTCTCTCTATACATACATACATATATATATTTTTAAGTATCTCTCTCATCTCATTCATTCATTCATTCAATCAAAATGGGTCCAAGTTAAGCGGCTAGATAACAGAACATGCCCAGTGGCGTAGCCACACAAGCGGGGGCAGCTGCCCTACTGAACTTTTATATTTTTTTAATTTTATGTGAAATTTTTTTAATATTTATATAATTTCTTTCACTAAAACTTGACAATTCACACATATATATATATATATATTATATATATATAATCAAATGACCATTCACGATATTACACAAAATATATCTATATATATAATCTTTCCAAAAAAATATAATATTTTTTTTTCACTTTCTCAAAATATTATATTTTTTTTCACTTTTTTTAAAAATACAAGATATTCTTTCACACTTTTGACTTTACTGCAAACAAATACGTTATTTCCATCACATTTTCAGTCTTCAACATTTTTCTTTCGCGAGTCTTCAACATTTCAAAAATTCACAAAATCCAAACAAATACTGCAGTACAGGTAATTTGATTTTTATTTATTTTTTTTATTTTTTATCATCATTACGATTATTATGCCATGAATATTTTGAAAACTCCACTACGCAATCGAATTGAAGACCAATGGATGAATGATATGTTGGTTGTGTATATTGAGAGAGACATATTTAGTACTGTTGACAATGATGTTATTATTCAACGCTTTTAGAATATGAAAAATCATCGATGACAATCGTGAATGTACTGAATAAAAATATTATAAATCAATGTTTTAATTTTTACATATATTATTTTAGTTCAAATTATATATATATATATATATATATATATATAAATCAATGTTTTAAGATTGCCCCCACTGAAGGAAATTATTGGCTACGCCACTGAACATGCCAACCATTCAACCGGCTATAATCAGTTGAGTAACGCTACAAGAAGCTTAATTTCAGGACAATTATCGTACACTTTCATTTAAATCAATATGTTTTTTTTAAAAAAATTACATAAATTATATCATCACATAATCATTATTAAAATAATTTTAATAAAAAAATTTATTTAAAAAATATTATAACTATATCGATTGGTCTCCAAAGAAATAGAATGTAACTAGTCATACAAATATTTTAATATTTCTCTAATAAATTGTATCATCACATCATTTTAATAAAAAAAATTATTTCAAAAACAGTAGTTTAAATTGGTCTCCAAAGAAATAGAATGTAAAATTTTGATTAATTTGTATGATCTATAATAAATGAATTTTGATACAAAATTTAATTGTGTAATTCTCATAAAATCATCTTTCAAATGGTTAGACGTCAATATTATCATCGTTATTATCTTTATCTTAATATTCAATAACATAAATTCTCTCTTTTTTTATTACATATTTATATTATTTACTATATTTAAAATTTTAAAATTATTTTTAATAAACTCATCATCTCGTGTTATTTTTAGTCACCCCATATTATAACTAGTATGATTGACGAGTCTTTCTCTAATTTTATAAACAACAGGTGTCAGAGTTTATTTTTCTAATTAAAATTACTTTATCTAATTTTCAAATAGTTGGATGTGTGATTCAATATTTGTTCACAACTTCACAATCACCAAAATAAAAATAAAAATAAAAATAAAAATAAGAATAATAGAATACTTATGACATTTGTGGTAGGGTCGACCACATGGTAGCATTTCGCTTCCTGCAAATCCACACTCCTTATGTTTCCACGTGTACAATTAGACAGAAAGTGTACACAACGCGCTATAAGACGAACGTGGAATATTGTTCCGTCATTGCACGCAACAGCCGTTAGATCTAAATATAGAATAAAATAATAATAAATAAATGCTGCCGCCTGGACAGCCCACATGCCACGTAACAGGGAGGAACCGAACCGAACCACCATAATAAAATGCCACCACGCTCGTATAGCGGTGTAGGGCGGCTGCTCCTTTATTACTAGTCAAATCCTTTGTTGACTGTCTCTCTCTCTCTCTCTCTCCTCACTTTCTCTCTCTATATAACCACCATATCCTCCCTCTCTTTCCTCTAGGCCATGCCCTAACACTCTTTTTGTTTCCCCTCTCATATATATATACACACACATATCTATATATATGTTGTGACGATAGAAACGCAGCTATACGTGTGAGTGTGTGTGCGTCTAAATTTATATATTTATATTAACGGAGTTGATGGCGCCGAGGGAGAAGACGGCGGGGGGCGTGAAATTTAACGGCGACGTGAAGGAGGTGCATTTCAGGGGTGTACGGAAGAGGCCGTGGGGGAGATACGCCGCCGAGATTCGAGATCCGGGGAAGAAGAGCCGTGTGTGGCTGGGGACGTTCGACACGGCGGAGGAGGCGGCGAGGGCGTACGACGCCGCCGCGAGGGAGTTTCGCGGCAACAAAGCCAGGACTAATTTCCCGGTGCCGGAGGAGGTGAGTGTGAGGAACGTTAACAACGGCGGTGGTGAGAAGATTGATGTGATGATGATAAAGAAGAGTAGTTGTAATCAGAGTCCGGATCAGAGTAGTACCGTGGAGTCCTCGGGGTTTTCGCCGGCGCTGATGGTTGATTCGTCGCCGTTGGATCTCAATCTGTCCCACGGCGGCGGAGGCGGCGTCGCTCGATTTGGCTCCGCCGTGAGGTTTCCGTTTTTGCAGCAGCAGTATCATGTTTCTCCGGTTACCGGAATTTTGCCGCCGGCGAGTCAGGTTGTCTATTTTGACCAGATCCTGCGCCCTGAGAGGATGAATCAAGACTATCTCCGTCAGCTTCAAAATGAGCGGCTGATGTTCGATCACGCGGCGGCAACTTTCCGCGCCGCCGCACACTGCGGTGGTGGGGTCCCGAGCGACTCCGACTCGTCCTCTGTAATTGACTTGAACCAGAGCGACGTCAAGCTGAACACAGTTCGCGACTTCGATCTCAACTTTCCCCCGCCGGAAAACGTCTGATGCCACCGCCGGTGGAGGCGGGATTTTTTTTTTTTACCGTTTTCTATTTAATTTTTTTTTTTTTTTTTTGTCAGTTTTCCCTTTTCTTCTGTTTTTGGAAAATAGGGATAAGATTAGGTATTAGCGAAGTGTTGGAGCTTCGGTGATCTATAAGCGGTTCAATGAATGATCACCGTCTGATGTGAATACATAGCTGATCTCCTTTTTTTTTTTTTTTGCAACAGTTAGAATTCAATTTCTTGCTGTTGTTGGAAACTTTGCACTCATGTGCCTTGGATGTAACCTCTTGTTTAATCCATGTCTTTTTGCAATGAAGCAATTGATAATTTCTCAAAATATTATTTTACTATTAAGATCTAATCACAAATTTTACTATATTTAGATGGAAGCATTTGGTTTAATTATTTTAGAAATATATTTAATAGTTTCGGATGATTTCAAATGAATGAATTTAAGAGAATTGTTTGTTTCATGGGAATAAAAACTTTTTCCTTCTCAATTTAATATCACCTTAAAGTTTCAATTCAGTCATTTACTCCTGTTTGGAAAACCAAATATGTGCTTTGAAATTGGGAAATTGGAAGAAGTTTGGATCTATTAAGTTTCCTTCAATCTCAAATTTAGGTGTTTTAAAATGGAAAGAAGTTTACATCTATTAAATTTTCTTAATTACAAATTTAAAACACCAATTCAGTGACACCAAACATATAATCTTTGATAAGTTTAGATTTATTAAATTCTCTTCAATTTTAAATTTAATGCCAGATTTAGTGCCACCAAATATATAATCTTTGACTTCAATTTGTCCTTTTAAAATTAAAGCAAAATGCAAGAGTTGAGCGTTTAATTTCTAATTTTTTAAAATTTATCCTAATATTAAGGGCATTTGTGTACTTTTATAATAAGTAGATGTTTTAATAGTAGATAAATGTTGTATTTGTCACAAAATTGTTATGAGTAATTTTGCAAAATATTTTATAAAATCCCAAAGAAATTTTTTTATTTTTGGTTAGATGAAATATAAGTGCGAAATGCAAAGTGAGTGGAATGAAAACTAAACATTTGATTATCATGAAAATAGATTTTATTTCATGGTATAGAGTGCATAAAAATTACTATTTATAGAAATTAAATAGTTATTGAAAATTATTTTTTTAATATTTTGTTTAATTGTATTAAAATTTTCATATTCCATTTTATGTCATTTATGCAGAAATTCTAAAAACCCCAAAAACTATTTAAAATTTGCAAAAAAAAAAAAAAAAAATTACTATTTTTAAAGAGCGTCAGTCTTTCATTTATCAAAAAGTGATAAAATGATCTTTATATATATATATTTCATTTCATGGTATAGAATGCATAAAACTTATTAAAAAAAAAAAAAAAGAAAAAATAAAAGAGGATAAAAAAAATTTTAGAAATTAAATAGTTATAGAAAATTATGTTTAAATTTTATTTATTTATTAATATTTACATTTAATAAGACGGATTTACCCTTTAGATTCTCACCCAGCAAAAGAAGTGTGCAGAAAGTAAGACATTCACGGTGTGGTGGCACGTGTGGTCCATGTTGGTACGGACGCGCACGAGTTATGGCGTTTCAATAATCTTTTCTTGTACTCTTGCGAGTACTCGACGGAGACGGTTCAACGAGGTCTGATTTGCTGCCACGCGTCAGAGCCCATTCTGATGGACCAGATTCTCATTCAAGAAACGTAGAGGACACGAATATACAGGTGTTTTCATCAACTATCTTTATTTGACGGTCCTCCTTTTTTGGGTTTATTTGCATTTTAGACTAATTGTTTCTTGTCATTTCCCTCAAATGCCTTTAAATTTTCACATATTCATCGTCCTTGCCTTATTTTCATATAAAAGGGTCAAATAGAGTCGGCCTGTTTCCTTTTATCACCGATCATGTCAGGTTTAAAATTTAGGAGATTACTTGATTCGTCACTCAAAAATTTAAAAAATTATTTTCAAACAAAAGACTGTGATTTCTCTGAAATCGTACTTTTTAATTAAGGGCTTATTTGATTTGTAACTCTGAAAATATTTCTTCAGAAAACAGTTTTTAGGAAATAATAAAAGACAATTATCTGAAAGTAGGCTTTTTTTATAACTGAGTTTTCAGAAAATTGAACCAACAAAGTTTGAGGTACAGTTTTCTATTTTCAATTTTTTTTAGAACAGAAAACAGTTCTAAAAAATTGTCAACCAAACAAATTTTTATACAATTTTTATTTTCTCATAAAATAAAAAACTGTTATAAGAAAACTGAACCAAGAAGGTTAACTTTTTAAATTCATTTCTAATAATTTTATCCCACGTTAATTTTTGTCTTCCCCTCCATCTCTTACCTTATGTGAAAATTAAATTTACTTTTATAAATTTTCTATATATGTGCTCAAACCACCTAAGTATACTCTCAGTATATCTAGTTGATAAATGTTACATTTAAATTTTCTATTGTACTTTTATTTGTTACTCTGCCTCTAGCGAGATCACTCCTATTGTCCATCTCGCATTCTTAATTTCGTTATATGTAGGCGATGTCCTTGTTTCTTTTAAAAGCTCACGATTTCATAAAATATAATTGGGTATTATCTAGTGACTTAGTAGATAGGGCAAAGCGTTCAGTTTTCCGAACGAGTGTGTCGGTACTACATAATTTCATGAAATATAATTTGGTATTATCTAGTGACCTAGTAAGCAGAGCTGAGCAGATCGTTCAGTTCCCCGAGTGTGTCGGTACTACATAATTTTTAATTTAACATATGTGTTATTTTCTCAAATAAAGGTCCTTGTGTGAAATGGTAAGCTTGGCTAAATTTCTTTCCACACGCACCCTTCTTGACAAAGTCCTTTGGATTGCTTTACAACCAAGTTTGGAATAACAAGTGATCTAATTATGAGTCAAAGCAGGGTTAGCAAATCATTATCAGAAATGGTAAGCTAGGTTAAATTATTATTAAAATCGTTTTCTTTTGAAGTGATTATGGAAAAGTCTCAAAGAGCAAAAAAATAAATATGGGGTTGAAATTGAGTACTTCATCCCAATTTATGCAAATCATGTTTTACTTTAAAGAGCATAAGGTGGGATTTGTAAATTAATTGCAAGATTGTCATTCATGACCAAAACATTATAGTTTAATGCTTCTTTGGTACTTAAAAAAAAAAAAAAGGAAATGACATGGTACTTATTGTTATATATTTTTATTTATCTTTTTCTTGAAGAGAAAGAGACAGTGCCAAACTGGAAAGGTCTTGGAAAGTTAAAAATCACTAACCTACTTTTTTGACCATGGAAACAAGAGGTGAGCAACACAATTACTTCCCTAAGAATATCTGTCCACTATAGGTTTGTACCAAGAATTTTCTTTAGGAGTTGATATATTCCTACTTTAGGGAAATTCTTTGACACTTCTCTATATGTTACAATAATTAAATGGGCAACTTTATAATGAAGGCTTCAAATCACAAAAAAAAAAACTCATGCCATTCACTGGCTGATGAGGTGCAAGTTAACCTTGAAAAGACCATCATAAACAAATAAAGTGCAACAACCTTTTTAAGCTTGTTGAGCATCTGTATTTTTTTATTTATTTAATTACATCGAAGCAAAATACGAAAACATGTTTCATAATGTTTGTTAGGAATATAAATAGTACAATTGTATTTTCGGTTGTTTTCAGACTAGCAACAATGCTGTAGCGATCAGTGGTAAGCCAAACAAACTCTTAAATGACAATTTTAAACTAACCACTAATTTTTCAAACTTGCAACACTTTTTTACTAAATATATTTTCATATTTTTGCTTTCAAAAATTCTTGCAACAAATTTTACATCACCAAACATGTGGCGATCTTGTGGGCAGGTGTGTGTGAGCATGTACAGATGGCACCAGTAGACTACCGCATTGAGCGATATACATGTGCATAATCTCACATCGCTTATAGGCCATATTGCGTTTAGACAGGGTAAGGATCGTTACAAAATATGTTTCCAATCACTACTACTGAACACACTCAACAACAAAATGTTGTTTTTGTTTCGGATAAAATAAAAACATAAAACATTTTCGATTGCCATAAAGACCCTAATTGTGTGAATTGTCTCTCTTTTTTTTACATTACTCATAAGTTATGATTTTATATCGTCGGTGTACACAACAATTTGTAATGAGTAATGATACTTGCATCGAATTATTGCACCTAATGTTTTTGATGCCTGATGGTTATTTATGCATAGTATATTTAGTGGAGGGCCCCACTTCTTTATTTATGTAATTTATTGTAATAAATTGTGAGGCCTATTTATTTTAATTCGTCCATTTATGCATAAATAAAAATATAGGACCTTCTATTTACATGCACTATGCATAAATAACTAATCAAAAATATTCCGTGCAACAATTTGGTGCAATTGTAATACAACTTTTACATCCAAATATATTATTGAGGAGGGATTGGAGCATGGTGTGAGCAAAGGGCACGTGAGTTGGTACACTTACCTAAACAAACAAATATATATTTATTTATTGATATACTTACAACTTACTCGGACACGTTGTCATATTTAACAAATCACAAAATATATTAGTTAGACTATTGAAACACTACTATAATTACTATTTTTTTGTGTGTGTTTTCAAACTCAACGTTAAATAATTTAAGATAAATATGTTTATGTACGAACTCTTTAACGCGTCCCTCAAACATAATAATAAAGTTGTCCTTGACATGGTACTATTTATATTTTAGATAGAAACTAATAGAAAAAATCAAGTCAAAAACAAAATTAATGATACAAAAACCTTCGAATACTTTATAATATTTTTCTAAGTCAAAAATAAAATTAAAAATTACTAAAAAAAAACTTCATATACAAAATGCACATACATGTGTGTATAAATGTAGTGACGCGTGGGGCCGAATGCAAGAGTGTGTAAATGGGTTGACTGGGTTTTAGATAAGAGCTACTTGCACGTGGTATTGTGTCGTCAAATATTGCCATTTTTTTAGTTTGCTTTATAAATTTTGTGAAAGATAAAGTGTCACAGACAAAAATGGGGCCCACCTGGACGCGGGCAATTGAAGTGGAGCGCGTCGGCCGCTTTCGGTGGGGTCCGTGTCTTGGTCGTCTAAATCAGTGGAGAAGATTTCGTTTCCATTTTTATATTCCACATTTCAAGATTCATTTTAAATTGAGACACCACTTTTTGATGAAACTAATTATTAGGGCATCTTTTTTTTCATTCACTAACATATGAAGTTAAAACTTTGACGTTAACACATGCTTAATTCTCATTGGTGGAAAAAAGAAAGGATTTGGG